TTTCCTTGTGAGCTTCAGTTTCCCTTTGCCTGATGGAGTTGGCTTGTTGAGGGTCAGAGGTCATAAAGGCAGGGATGTGTGAATGTTTTAAAAATTTTTTCTTTTTGAGATAGGATCTCACTACATAGTTCAGGCTGGGCTTGAACTCACTTAGTAGTCCAGGGTTGCCTGGAATTTGAAATGATCCTCCTGCCTCAGCCTCCTGGTGCTGGGATTACAGGTGTGCACCACCACGCCCAGCAGGGATGTGTGAATGTTTTGGGCCTGGGGCTGAGATGTTCCGGTAGGAGGTGATCCAAGTGCCTGTCTGGGCGACAAATCTCACTCTTGCCAAGAACAGCGCCAGCCTGTCTTTCCTGCTGGGGATCTGTGTGGGCCTGCAGCTCCCTGTAGGCCCCAGGTTGGACTCCAGGGGGATCCTCAAGGTTACGCTGCGGCTCCTTTCCAGGGGCTGTAACTGGAAGCTGGGGGAGAGAAGTAGCAAAAGCAGAGCCCAGACGTGGAGTGGGTGTCACCGGCGTGGTGGGATCCCAGCCACTGTGTTCATGCTGGGGCAGGTGCCAGCCTCTGTGCTGACTTGGTCACCAGCTGGGTCACCCTGGGCAGTTACACTCAGCTTCGGTTTCTTTTTGTCGTTGTTGTTCTGGGGAGTCAACCCAGGCGTGCTCGACCAGTGAGCTATGGCCCTATCCTTTTATTTATTTTTAATTTTGAAACAGGGTCTCACCAAGTTGCTTAGGTGAGACTTGAATTCGGGATTTTCCTGCTTCAGCCTCCCTCAGTGCTGAGATTGCAGGCCTGTGCCACTATGTCTGTCTGGGTCTTTAGATGATTTTTTTTTTTTTTGTGGTGCTGAGGATAGAACCTAGGGCCTGGTGCGTGCTAGGAAAGTGGTCTAACACTGAGCCATATCTGAGCCCTTTTACAATTTAATTTTAATTAATTTATTTACAGTATTGGGAGTTGAGCCCAGGGATTTTGCATGGAGCTACATCCCCAGCCCTTTAAAATTGTGAGATAAGGTCTCACTAAATTGTTAACTTGCACAGGTCAGGCTCAAATTTGGAATCCTTCCTGCCTCAGCCTCCTGGAGTGTTGGGCTTACAGATGTGTGCCCCTGTGCCCAGCTTCAGTGTCTTAATCCAGAAAACAGGGGTGCCAGGCTTCTTTTTCTCCCAGGGCAGTGGGAAGGTGAGCTGGGATCAGGAAGAGCCCTGGATTCCAAGGCAGAGCAGAGCTGCCTTTCATTTTTTTTTTTTTTCTTACATGGAGGTGAAATCAGACAGCCTGCAGTTAACCATTTACAGTTCAGTGACATTTAGTGCACTCACACCAGGCTAGCTGCCACGGCTTTCCTCAGTTTGACCCTAAGGAAGGACAAACAGCCTTTTTAGTCTTCTTTTTGTACTAGGAATCGAACTCAGGACCTGGCGCTTGCCAGGCAGGCGCTGTGCCGCTGAGTTGTCTCCCTGGCCCCACAAACAGCCTTTTGAAGAGAGAAAGTGACCCCACTTGGACCCTGACCGTGGGAGGTGCAACTTGGCCCTGGGTTTGTAGCTATAAATAATAACAGTGGTAGCTGATGTCACAGGGCACTCCTGCCAGCCAGTGTTCAGAGCATTTTACAAATACGGAGCCCTTTTTTAGTCTTTACATCATCCTCAAGGGGGAGATGTTGCTACATTATCTGTTTCACACAGCCAAGGGAAATTAAGAAAATTTCCCCAAATCACAGAGAAGGTGGGCCTAGGAGCCAGAATCTCCTCCGTTCCCTGCCCTGCCTATTCCTCTGCCCTTACCCGCTAAGGTACTGACTGACCACGCCCTTCCCTGCCAGCCCTGATTGTTGCTAAGTTAAATGTAAATTAATTAAAATGTAATAAAACAAAGAATGTGGTTTCTCAGCTTCCCTGGCTGTGGTGCACTTCCTCGGTAGCCATGTGAGTCCATGTCCAGCACAGTGACAGACTGGCGCCGTTCACCTAGCATTGCTACGCGTCATTTATTTACCCAGTCCCCACCTGATGGACACACAGGTTGCTTCCAGTTTGTTGAGGGTGACTGACTGTGCAGGGGGACCCTTCCCCAGGTTGTTGTGTGACTGTTCCGGAAGTGATGGTGTAGGTGGGGGCTGTTGGGCTCTGGAGCCGGTCCAGCTCTGCCTCTGGCTGTGTGCCTGAGTGACCCTGGGTTGTCACTTGTACTCTGTGCATGAAAGGCTCATGGGAGGGTGGAGTGGCTGCCGGCAAAGTGGATAAGCGCGTGCAGTGCCTGTGAGTTCCGCTTGCCACTGTTGGCATCGCTGGGGCTGGTAATTTATTGCTGCATGTCTGTGCTAGAGATTTTGACGCTGGGCGGTTGGTCTTTGCTTCTAAGGTGTCAGATGAGATAATTACTGGGTGCACAGGTGGCACGGAGGAAGCCTGCAGTCCCCAGCGGGAGGCGTGGGACCAGTGTGGGAAAGTCAGGTCTCAGCTCAGCCCAGGGCCAGAGCAAAGGGACTCCTCTTCCCCCTTAGTTTGGGCTTTCTCAAAGGGAGAGAACAGTGAACACGGGGCCTGATTGTCATGCCCCTGGGCCCCTGTGGCCTGCACTTTTCTTGGTGGCCACTGCTTGGTCCCTGGGGTAGGTGTGAGCAGCTGTAGGATGGGGAGAGGAGCGTGGGTCAGTGTGGGGTGCAATCACAGTCTGGAGGTGTTGGCCATATGTGGTGGGGACAGCTGCTGCCTCAGTCCTGCCCCGGGAAAACTGAGCTGTACAGCCTGGGTGGCATGTGGCTTCTTGCATTACCTGGTTTGTTTTCTTTTTTCCTATCCTGGTGACTGAATCCAGGGCTTTCACACACAGGGCTTGAACTTGGAATTCTATTGCCTCAGCCTCCCAGAGTGCTGGGATTATAGGTGTGTGTACTACACCTGGTTCCCCGGGTATTTTCAAGCCCCTCTTGTGGGTCAGGGTTGCCCTGCCCTTCTGTCCCAATCCTAACTTGTGTGTCTGTGCTCTGGCCCTGTGAGAATTGGAACTGATTCTGTGTAGCTCAGAAGCGGAGTATCTCTTGGGGGCCAGGCCATGGGCACAGGGCACATTGGGGAGCAAGGCAGAGAGTCCCTCACTGTCACAAAGTAGTTGGGGTGACGTGGAGACAGACGTGACACACATGGTCAGGCTGAGGTCTGTCTCCAGGTTGTCACAGGTGGACCCTGCTTGGATTGTGTGGTTGTGTGTGAGGTCTTTTCTGAGGTCCAGGAAAGGCCACCGGGTGGGGATAAAGAGAAGGGCTCTGGGATGGGGTACAGGTCCCCAAAAGGACTGAGGGGAGCGATCGAGGCAGGACCAGGGATGTGAGCAGGCGAAGGTGACCGGCTTTGAATCTGCCTGATTTGGGTAGGCCGCGGGGACAGTGAGTCCGTGCAGACCATCCCTGGCCTTGTGGACCATGTATCCCATTTTAGAGCTGCAAATGGGTGCCCCACGAGAGAGCAAGTGGCAGGGACGCGCCCCCACCTAGCTTGGGGCAAGTTTGGGACAAGGGAACTTGAGCGCTGTTGGGTGTCTGGCAGAGCCGTTGGTGGCATCCGGGCCCCAACGTCCTTCGGGGCCCGGGGTGCTGCCGGGCGCTTTCACAAGCCCAGACGGGGCCAAGCTGGGCCGCGGCTTCCTGCAGCCGGGGCAGGAAGAGCTGGCGGCTGATGTCAGCCCTTGCGCAAACCCCTGGCTGCGGCTTCCGGAGCCTGCTGCCTGCCACACCGAAGAGGAAGCCCAGGGCCCGGCGGGGCCCAGAGGCCGCGTTGCCTGGCCTGGTCGCATGGACGCACTGAGCAGCCCTGGTGGGCCTGGGGCCCGAGGCTTTGGTGCTGGATCTAGGTGAGGGGCTGGGCGGGAGTGTTCGGCCGGCATGGGCTGTGGTGATGGGGCCTATGGCCCCAGGGCGCAACTCTGGGGCCCCCGAGGTGGAGGCCTTGCCCCTTGTCAGCTCCGTTTCCCCGTGTGCAGCCTGCAGTGGTGCACTGGGTGTGTTGGGACCCCGTGGCCCTGGGAATTGGTTGGTGGCAGGGACTGCAGGCCCTGTGCGGTGCAGCTCCTGGGGACCTGCGCTTGGGCGGGGCGCTGAGTGCCTGTGGGCTGGACTAGGGCCCCGGGGTGAGCTTGGGGGGATCTGGACTCCGCAGCCAAGTGCTCAGGGTGGGGCACGTGCTTGCTGGCGCTTGTTGCTGCCGCTGCTGTCATTGTCATTTCGTATAAAGACCGGTGTCGAATGTATGTCCCTTCTTCCCTGCGCTCTTAGACGGAGGCACTTAGGCCCCATTCTGCTGAGGAGCAACCGGGGCTCGCAAGGGGAAGCCCTTGCCCCCGCCCGGGGCCTGCAGGCTGCGCTGCTGGCTGTGGAGGTGTTGGGAACTGGTGAGGCAGAAACGCTGGGTGGCAGCGAGAGGCGTCCTGCCGGCTGCGGTGTGGGAAGCGTGGGCCCAGTTCCTTCCACGCTGCCGTCCAGCACCACAGTCTCTGTGCCAGGGCCCTGTTCTCTGGAGGGACAGCCGTGGGCAGGACTCCCTGTACTCTTACCAGCTCCCTGCTTCATGTGATTGGTGATGGACTCTCTGGTCCACCGAAGCTCAGGGTGCCAGCTTTTTCATCTGTGAAATGGGCACAGGTGGCCCAGCTGGGCACCTAGAGGCTCATGGGCTGGGCTGCTGTGGGTCCTCCCTGGTCAGGAGCTCAGTGGGGCTCGGAATATGAGCCCCTCCACCTGCTTGCTCTGTGGCTTTGGGTTCCCACCTAGAGATGGGTGAAGAAGGGTCTTCCCTGGACCCAGGTGGGCTGTACGAGGGTGCTGGGGCCTGGGGCGAGGTCTGCAGGGTGGCCTCCTCCTGCCTGGCTTTCTGGGGTCACACAGCCTTCTCTAGCCCTGGGGGGGTGGGGCCTCTTTGGTCTTCCTGCCAGTGGGGAAGCGAGGGGGGTCCAGGGGCTCCGGTGGCCTGACAGCCCCCTTCTCTCTGCAGGCGAGGCCTTCTTGGGCAGCTTTGTGGCCAGTGGGATGGGGCCCTCAGCCTCATCCCAGGGAAGCCCAGTACCCCTGCCCTCTGATCTCTCCTTCCGCTCCCCCACCCCCAGCAACCTGCCCATGGTGCAGCTGTGGGCTGCCCATGCCCATGAAGGTAAGGAGCGTGCCAGGCGGGTGGGGTTGGGGGCTGCTGGGCCATTGCCCCACGACTCTGGCAATTTTATGTCCCTAGCATTCTCACGTTTGCCCCTCTCCTCTGCCTCCATAGTCATGGGCCCAGCTCTGGCTACCAGCAGCCTCCATGGTCTCAAATGGTCAGTGCTTCCTCTGGTTGCTGCCTCGGGGCCTTTGCACAAACTGTTTGTGATGCTTGCAGCCCCCCACTCCAGCCCCCTGGGTGGCTCTTGCTTTCCTTCAAGGCCCAGCTCAGGCATCCTCCTGTCCTGCCATTCCCTTGGTGACAGTAGATTTACCTTTGTGATTATTCCTAAACTGATGATTCCCATCAGAGTGAGTCCTCCCTTGGTGCACAGGAGGCTGGTTAGTAATTGTGGGAGCTATGGAACCCAGGGCCCCAGCCTCTTTGGTTGTAGCTCTGCAGAGATGCCTGCTGTGGGGCCTGGCGTTCCCCTGACCTTGAGCAAATGCTGCAGTCCCCTACCTCTCCTCTGGTAAACCCATACCGTGCTTGTTTGTCCCAGCAGCTGCACACTCAAACCCATGTCCTGCTCAGAGCCAGGATTGGGGCTGTTGTGCCCATTTTACAGATGACAGCAGAGGGCCCTGATGCCTCCCTTGGAGCTGTTTCAGGGATTAGATGAGATCACGTGTATCCAGCGGTCCTTTTTGTTTTGTGGTAGTTGTTAATGTCATTAGCAAGTGATGCTGGGGGAAAAAGCCAGGGGCAGGTTCTGCACCGCTGACCTCAGAGCAATAGTTAGGGACACAGGGTACTTGAGTCCCTTGGGGATTGTCATTAGGACCCCAGGCCCAGCGGTAGCACCCTTGCTGGCATGCCCGACCGGCCTCCAGGCCTTCATTCCCCATGCGTCCCCTTAGGCGTCTTGCCTCTCTGTCCGGGTCGTCTCCCTTTCTGTTGGTCCTGGGAGGCCCTGATTCTGGTGTCGCTGTGGGGCTTTTTAGGAGGCTGGAGGAATCCTAGCTCCTGCCTGCACGATTCCCGCAACCAGAGATGCTGGGTCCACTCAGGTTCAGAGAAGGCAACTAACTGTCTCAGTTACTGTCTTATCACTGCAACATAGTACGGCACCTGCAGATTAAAAGGGGTTTATTCTGGCTGGCAGTTGGTAGAGGGTTCAATCTGTAGTTGGCTGGCTCCGAGGCAGGCAGCACGGCTGAGGGGGAACACTTACGGCACAGGGCAGGCAGGAAGCAGCCAGGGACTAAGGGAGCAGGGAGGGAGACGCAGGCTTCTAGGCCACGCCTCCAGTGAGCCAGCTCCTCCAGCCAAGCTTTACCTCCCAGCAAGCCTGATCCAGTCAGTGCAGGAGGCTTTGGGGGACATCTACATATAAACCATAACAGAGACTGACCATCGCTGGGACATACAACAGAGAAGGGGCCTGTTAAAATCAGTCATCTGAAGCCGGGCGTGGTGGTGCACGCCTGTAATCCCAGCACTCGGGAGGCTGAGGCAGGAGGATCCTTGCAAGTTCGAGACCAGCCTGGGCTACAAAGTGAGCTCAAGGCCAGCCTGAACTGCATAGTAAGACCTTGTCTCAAAAAGACAAAAAAAAAAAAAGTCATCTGCCCAGTACTTTAGGAGGCTGAAGCTGGAGGATTCCAAGTTTGAGTGCAGCCTGGGAAATTGAGTGAGACCCTGTCTCAAAAAGAAACAAAACAAAACAAAACAAAACAAAACAAAAACCCTGGCTATGGTGGTACACGCCTGTAATCCCAGCACTCAGGAGGCTGAGGCAGGAGGATCATTGCGAGTTCAAGGCCAGCTTGAACTGCATAGGGAGACCCTGTTTCAAAAAGACAAAAAAAAAAAAAAAAAAAGGATGGGGGTTATAGCTTAGCACAAAGCCCCTGGGTTCAATTTTCAGTACCAAAAAAATATTGGGACATAAAAAACATGACTCAGTCAGGGTACACGTTGGCCCTGAAGTTAGGAATCCAGGCTGGGGGGGGTTCTGCTGACCTTGGCTCGAAGCCAGGCCCTTGCTGTGTGTCCTTGGGTAAGTGGTCCTCTGGGAGCCTGAGTTTTCTTTTCTGTAGTATGAGAAGAGGAAGAGCTTGGGCCTCCCAGGTTGGTTTTGAGGCTTAAAGGAGAGTAACAGTGGCAAAGTAGTGTTGGGATCTGTCAGTGACCCCTCCCCACGGATCCATTCTGATCCTCTTTCCAAGCCCCGAGGGCTGCCCAGGGTTGGGGGCGTTGAGCGGCGGGGTTGAGGGGCACATGTCGCTCGGGACTGGGGTAAAGCCTGAGGCTCTCTGCACTGCAGAGCCGCAGCCGGTCTGCTTGCTTTCCAAGGAAGAGCGTGTGGGCGCTCGGGAGGCACCAGGGGCTGCATCCCTGCTCTCTCCCTCCCTAGGCTTCTCCCACCTGCCCAGCGGACTGTACCCCTCCTACCTCCACCTGAACCACCTGGAGCCCCCCAGCAGTGGGAGCCCCCTCCTCAGCCAGCTGGGCCAGCCCAGCATCTTCGATACCCAGAAAGGTCAGTGGATGGGAATGGGTGGGACTGGGGTCTGGGGGCTGGGGAAGGGGTGGCACTTCGGGGGGCTTGTCTGGAGCCCTCATCCATGTCCCAGCTGTTTATATTATTGTCATGATAGGAAAACCCTCTGCCCCTATGATACAACCCTGTGTAAGATGCCTCCCCGCCCCCCTTTTGATACAGGGCTTGCTACATAGCGGAGGCTGGCCTTGAATTTGAGTTTCTCCTGCCTCAGCCTCCTAAGTGCTGAGATTACAGGCTTTTGTACTATGCTTGGCTTTAAGATGCTTTTTAAAAAGTTTTTATTTTACTTATTTGTGTGTGTGGTACTGGAGATTGAACCCAGGGCCTTCACACTGAGCTACATTCCCAGACTTTTTATTTAATTTAATTAATTTATTTATTTTTTTGGTTTTTTTCTCCGGTACCGGGAACCGAACTCACGACCTTGCGCTTTCCAGGCAGGCGCTTTGCCTCTGAGCTAAATCCCCAGCCCCAAGACTTTTTATTTGAATTTTTAAGTTTTGAGGCAGAGTCTCAATTGCTAAGTTGCCCAGGCCGTGCTTGAATTTATGATACTTCTGACTCAGCCTCCCAGAGTCCTGAGGTCCCAGGCCTGTGTATCAGATGCCTTTTTGAGCCCTCACCCTTAAGCACCCCATCCCCACAGGCTCACTGGGGTGTTCATAGCCTTCTAGCCCCTTCTTAGGCCTTCTGGGCAGCTTTAAAACAATCCTGGCCTCTCCCCCTTTTACAGATGAGGAAACTGAGGCACAGGAAGGTTAGAAGGCCAAGGTGAGATTTCACCTCGGTTGTAGCCATTCCCAAAGCCTACTCTCCCAAGGCAGCGCCTCTATGCGAGCTCCTTGTCTCCCTGAGGACACAAGGCAGCCTCTCTGTGGGGTAGAGGATGCCCTGGCCTGGGGTGGGCTGTGGGCTGCGCTAACTGTGTTTCTTTCCATAGACTGCTTCTACCTGCCCACTCCAGGGGCCCCCAGCGCCCTGCACTCCCACACACCGTCCTCCAGAACAACTAGCGGCCACTCCTCGGGCTCACAGGCCAAAGGCTCAGTGTCAACACGTGAAGGGACAACCAAGGAGCGCGCAGGCCGCAGCGGGGAGCCCACGCTGTTCGGCAAGAAGGACCCACGGGCACGCGAGGAGGCTGCTGGGCCGCGCGGCGTAGTGGACCTGACCCAGGAGGCTCGGACTGAGGGCCGCCCGGACCGAGCACCTGCGCGCCTGGCCGAGCGCCTGTCCCCCTTTCTGGCTGAGGGCAAGGGCAAAGGCGCACTGCAGGCGTCCGCGCTGGGCATGTGCAACGGCACAGTGGACGCGGGGCTGGGGGCCAAGGAGGCAGCCCGGCAGGACGAGAGCATGCGGTTGCTGCGACGCGCGGAAGCCCTGATGCCCGTGCCAAGACCCTGCCCCTCGCCGCTGCCCCCACCGCCGCCGCTGCCCCCCAAAGGGACCCCCGGACCTCCCTCCTCGGCGCCCGCCGGCGTCTACACCGTGTTCCGTGAGCCCGGACGAGAGCACCGCGTGGTGGCGCCCACCTTCGTGCCTTCCGTGGAGGCCTTTGACGAGCGTGCAGGGCCCATCCAGATTGCGTCGCAGGCGCGTGACACCCGCGTGCGTGAGCGAGAGCGGGAGGCAGGGAGGCCCGGGGTGCTGCAGGCGCCCCCCGGGTCCCCGCGGCCCGAGCGCCCAGAGATCCTGCGCGAGAAGAACTCGGTCATCCGCTCGCTGAAGCGCCCACCACCGCCTGCCGATGCGCCCCCGGCCCGCACCGCGCGCGCCTCCCCGGATCCGCGCGTCTACTTGCCTCCCAAGGAGCTACCCAAGCCGGAGGCGGACCCGCGGCCGTGCGAGCGCGCACCCCGAGGGGCCCTGCAGCCTGCCAAGCTCTTTGGCCTGGATCCTGCGCGCGCGCCCGTGCCCCCAGGGCCTGAGCCCAAGTGGAAGAAGCCCTTTGAGCTGGGCAACTTCGCCACGACGCAGATGGCTGTGCTTGCTGCGCAGCACCACCACGCCAGCCGCGCCGCGGAAGAGGATGCCTCCAAGAAGGCATACCTGGACCCCGGGGGCGCGCTCCCCCGTGCCCGGCCCGGCACAGACCTGCACCCTGCGGCGCCGGGAGCCCATGGACCCGGGGAGGCCTCCGCGATGCAGAGTCTCATCAAGTACAGCGGCAGCTTTGCGCGAGAGGCGGTGGCCATACGTCCTGGCGGATGCGGCAAGAAGAGCCCCTTTGGGGGTCTGGGTACCATGAAACCGGAGCCAGCGCCCACCTCTGCGGGCACCCCACGTGCCCAGGCCCGACTTCCACACCCTGGGGGTCCTGCCGCGAGTGGGGGTCGGCAGCTGAAGCGGGACCCAGAGAGACCCGAGAGTGCTAAGACTTTTGGGCGTGAGGGCTCTAGTGCCCAAGGGGAGGCCGAGGTACGGCACCCGCCTGTGGGCATTGCCGTGGCAGTGGCCAGGCAGAAGGACAGTGGTGGCAGTGGCCGGCTGGGGCCTGGACTAGCAGACCAGGAGCGTTCTCTGTCCCTGAGCAATGTCAAAGGTAGGTCCTGGGCCGCAGCCCTGCACCTCTGGTTCTTCCCGCTTGGCTCCTATATCCCTGTTCCCTTGTACCCTCTCTCAGGGTGCTGGTCCCGTGCATCTTTTGGGCTATTTGTGCTACGAGGCTGCTATTGAAAGTGTTATTGCATTTTCCATTATGCACGTAGAAAGGTGTGGAAAGTACAGAAAAGGAGCCCAAAGAAAGAGGACCATTATGTTTTCCCAGCACCCTGAACGCTTTTATATCTCTCCCTGAATTCATTTTCTGTGCAATTTGTGTTTACCGGCGGAGCTTCTGGTACACACACGATTTGGGGCCTGTGCGTGGCTCCTGTATTACAGTGTGGGCTCTTTGCCTGCTATGGCAAGCTCTTCATAAGTATCATTTTTTTATGGCCTTTAATATGCTGCGGAGAACACGCACCAGCAGGTACTGTGGTTCAGGTCGTTGTTCCCTGGTGGGCACTTTAGTTTTTTTTTTTTTTGCTGCTCTGGTTTTGTGTTGAATTTATTGCACGAAATATTTTTGTGCATTGTGCCTTCATGATATTTTGAGTCATTTTTCTAAGAATAGAGGTTCCTAAGAATAGGCTTACATTAAGCCTTCAATTCTAAATCCTGGGAAAGTGTAAGCAGACTTACTCTGTTTCAGGGTCTCTACCCAGCCAGCATGAGAGCTGGCACATAGTAGGTGCTTGATAAATTGGTGAATGAGCCAGTATATGAGGGGCGGAAAGTAGGGTCCCTATATTCTTTTTTTTTTTTTTTTTTAAATTTTAGAAATAAAAGGAGGAAAATACTAACAGACCGACAACATTTTACAAAATAGCATAGGATCAGTACAGACATTACAGAGTTACAAACAGAGTGGTAGGGAATTAACAATGCTTATTGTATTACATATTGGTATCTTCAATGTAGTTTCTCTAAATGTATGCAATATTCTTTTTGTTGTTGCGGTCTTTTTTGTCTTTTTTCCGGTACTGGGAATCAAACTCATGACCTTGCGCTTGCCAGGCAGGATCTGTGCTGCTGAGCTAAATCCCCAGCCTGGGTCCCTATATTTTTAAGGGGTTTTGACATTCAGTACTTAAGTGACTCTAGTTTTTAAGTGCTTGATAGCACTTAAAAGTCTCTGCTTTATTTTTATTTTATTTTTAGTGGTACAAAGAATAGTGTAACTCTACCACTCAGCTACATCCCTAGCCCCTTTTATTTATTTATTGTTTGTTTGTTTGTTTGGAGACAGTCTTTCTAAGTTGTCCCAGGTGGGACTTGAACTTAAAGTGCTCCTGCTTCAGCCTCCCAGAGTTCTGGGATTGCAGGCATCCAACACCATATCTGACTTATTTTATTGTTTTAGCGATGCTGGGATCTAACTGAGGGCCTCTTGCACACTAGGGAAGCGCTCTACCACGAAGCTACACCCCCAGCCCCATCTGTTTTGCTTTAGATGCCTCAGCATTGTGCTTTCATAAAAACAAACAGTTGCTAATTTTAGTAGGGAAAAATGGTGCCTGTCACTTAGTTTCTAGTGAAGTTGGATATTTTTTCAGAGCATGGTTAGTTGACTGGTTCTCCTTGTGCCCTCTCGGAGTGCTGAGACTTGGTATTTGTGGCATAGCTGTGGAACTTGGTGCGCAGAATACAACCCATTGGTGAGCTGAGTGCCCTGCCCACAGGTTGGAGACCCAGGCTGGGGGGTGTGTGCCATGGTGTAGGGTCACAGGCTGGGAAGGGGTGGGAAGGGACATGGCAGCCTCTCTCCGCAGCTGCCAGCTCCTGGCTCGGCTCCATGCCCACCCTCGGTCCAGATTGGACTCCTGTCCGTGGTGCCCCGAGAACCCCCTTCCTGCAGCTACCCGGACACCTTGTGTGCCCGTCTCCCGGGCCCCCTGCCTCCCTTGCCTGGGCCCAGGCCAACCCTGAGCAGCTTGGTGCACCTGTCCCAGCTGCCTGCGAGACCTGTTGTCTCAGGCGCCTGTCCTTCTTTGGACAGCACCAGCTGGGGTTGTTCTGTGTCCCTGCAGAGGTTGCCCCTCCAAGAGTCACCACCCCCACCCAGGGGTGGGGTCCAGGGCCTCAGTCTCTACAGCTGCATTGCTCAGTAGTTTTTTATGCAAAGCAGAATCCCTCTGTGTCCCATGCTGTGCTGCATACCACAGTGCCCTCCCTGCACTCAGGGTCCAGGTGTCACCTCCCTGAGGGATTTTTTCTTTGGTGCGGGGAATCCAACTCAGGACCTTCTGCTTCCAAGACAGGTGCTTGCTCCACTGAGCTATATCCCTGGCCCTTCCTGAGGGATTTTTGAGTCAGGAGCTGGGCACTCCGCTTTAGACGACTCCTCCTCCAGCACAGGTGGCTGAACGAAGCTTGATGGATGTTTGTTGACTGAATCTATTGCTCTGTGCAGAGCGGAGCCCCACCCTCTGACGTTGGGGGTTTGCAGGAGCACCCGTCTTATTCTGGGATGCAAGGGGAGGGGGAGCAGCAGCTCTTTTTTTGGAGGTGGCCACTTGGTGGTGAACACCCTCCCCACCCAGTGGTATGGGTCTGTGGTCCCAAGAGGCTCTGATCTCTTGTGTCTCGTGATGCCGTGTGGCAGCTGTGTTCAGGGTCCTCAGAGCCTGTTCCGGAGCCCGGGGTGCCACCTGTGTCCGAAGGACTTGTGCCTGTAGGGTGGTGAGTGTGTGCGTGTAGGGGAGGCCGTGGGCATGTAGGAGAGGTCGTGGGCGCACAGGAGAGAGCGGTGGACGTGGCTGCGGTTTGGGCGAGACGCTGGGGTCTGGTGGAAGCTGCCTCTCTGTCTCTCGTGCTGCTGATGGCTGACAGGCGGTGGCCAGAGTCTCCCTCTCCCTAAACCAGGTGCCATACAAGGTGGTGGCTTAGGCTGTGTGCTGAGCGGCCTTGAGGGAGGCTGGGGACCCCCGGTGCCCGTGTGCACAAGTAGGGCCATCACCGGCCGGTTGCCAGCCGGAGTCTCCAGGATCTCTGGGGTGTCTCACTGTCTTCCTTTTGCAGTACTGGGGAGGGAGCTTAGGGTCTCTGTGCTGAGCTCCCTCCCTAGCCATTTTTACCTTGTATTTTGAGACAGTGTTGCTAAATTGCCAGGTAGCTCATGTCTGGGCTGGAACTTGTGTGATGTTCCTGCCTCAGCCTCCCAGAGTACTGGGATTATAGGCTTGTGCCACCACACCCAACACACACTGTCTTACTTTCTGGAAGGAGCCCTTGTCACTGCCATATCCTGGTACGGGTTCGGATCCTGGTATGGTCCTTTGTAGCCTTGTGACCTTAAACAAGAGGCTGAGCCCCTTGGGCCCTAGGGTCGTCTGGTCTGCTCAGTCCCCGGCTGGCTGATGGGCACAGAGGCGGCGCTTTGTGAGCAGCAGGCCTTTCTTCTGCTCGCAGTCAGGCCCTGGGGCCTTAGTTCATCTGCCTGTGCACCTCAGCCCCCTCCTTCCGGAGAGCCCCAGGGTGCTCCTGCAGGACAGAGCTGCCTCTAGGGCTCTTATACTCCACAGCCAGTGCCTCATGCCCAAGAGGCCCAGCAAACTGGAGCGACCACTGCCACCTGGACAGCTGCTCCCGTGTGCCAGCAACTCCTTAGGATCTGTGCCACGTGGAGCGCCTCGGAGGAGGCACGGTTGCCCCCACCTCCAATTTGCAGATGGGGAGCAGAGGCCGTGGGGACGAGGTGGGACTGAGCTGGAACCCTGAGTTGAGGCCTGTCTCTCTCACTTCCTGAGGCCTGTCACCTCCCTGTCACATGGCACAGAGCTTGCGTTGCAGCAGTGTCAGCTGCGCTCCTGGTGATGAGTTGGTCACGCACCCGGGTGGTATCCAGGTGGGGGTTGCCATGGGAACTGAGCTGCAGCCTAGGCCCTGGGCCTGTCATGGCTGAGAAGTGAAAACTTGTGCCCTGGGAAGGGACAGGGGCAGCCTACCCCGATGGCCCTGATGAGGCAGCGATGCTTTCACAGAGCCGGTTCTCTGCCAGGCCCTGTCTGTGTGTTGGTCATGGGATCCCAGCAGGTTTTGCTGTCTTTCTATGCCTCAGTTTCCTCTTTAGGAAGATGGAGGCGAGCGTGGGGTCAGCCTCCAGGGTTGGTGGTGCTGCAGGGGCCTGTGGGGCAGAGGCAGTGGCAAATGTGAGCTCTGTCTAGCTCAGCCTCGGGCGGGCAGCTCCCTGAGACAGGGCTAGGTGCACACCTGGACCCCACGCTCTGCTCAGCACAGAGGCGAGTGGCCTTCTCGGGTGTTGTCCAGGAGGCCAGGGGAGCTTTCAAAGCCTCAGTCAGAACACGTTCACATTGCCCTGCTTGGACCTGCCTGAGCTCCCTGCTCACCTAAACAGAGCCTAAGTCCTGTTCGTGGCTGGGACCGCTGCCCCAGGAGCTCTCTTCTCCTGCACCTTCTCTTACTCCCACGGCCCTGTGCTGTTCCTTGGCACATTCCTGCCTCAGGGCCTTTTGCATTTGCTTTTCCCACTGCCTAGCTCGCTCTCCTGGAGACATCTGCCTAAACCCATCCCCAACCACCTGTTTATTGTCTTCCCTGCCAGGGATTGTGTAGGAGAGAGGTGGACAGCCAGGAGCAGAACTGTTAGAACTGACAGCTATGCACAGTCGGGCAGCAAAAAGTAGAAGAGCTGTATGCCGTGGCCAGGGCTGAGAGGGAGGCGGCGGCACTTGATCTGGGTGGAGGGAGCAGCATGTGTGTGGCCCTGAGGCTGAAATGCAGAGACACTGGGGACATTCCAGTAGACGCTGGGCCACCGAGTCAGGCCGGGGCGGGGGCTTGGTTCCATGGGGTGACGGCATGAGCCGGCTCAGGCCACGGGATCATGCAGGTTGAGCTGGAGCATAGCCAGGTGCAGGGGCCCTGGCCCAGGCCTGTCCTCCAAGACACCTTGTTTGCAGGGAGCGGCCTGGGCTTAGCCCTGGGGACCCTGGGGACAGTGGGTGCCCCAAGATGGGACAGGCCTTCGGACAGGTTCCTGATGACAGGCAGTGCTGGGGATGGAGAGCCCTGAAATTATGGTCTGTACGTATCAAGGGCCTTCTGAGGGCGCCAGGAGCACAGTGCCCATAGCCTGTCCCAGAGTCCAGACCAGCGGCAGGAGGGCGGCTGTGCCCCTGGGACCCAGTAGGCCTGTGTGGCTGATGCTCCTGGAGAAGGGGACCTGAGACCTTGCCCTCACTCTTCAGTGCAGCCACGGCCCCTGGGGTGGCCTTCTGGGCCTCAGTTTCCCCAAGGGCAGGCCCCATCTGTCCTTCCATTCTTCTCTGTCCACATCTGGGCGTGTGGGACCTGGACTGATGTAGACCTGAGTGGCATTTCCCTTGCTGCCATCTATCCCCTCACCCCTGTGCCACCAGGTCTTGTGACCTTACATCTGCCACGTGAAGCTTCTGCTCACTGCGGCCTGTGTGAAAATGGCTTAGCAGAAAGCAAGTGACACACCTTGCCGTGCGTACATCTCCTGGGGCCACTGATGGGACACAGTGACTCCCTCACCTGTCCCACCGTCCCTGTCTCCCTAGACACTTGCTCAGTGGTCAGATGCAAGTGATAGAGCCAGGCACTCAGGGAGGCTGAGGCAGGAGGATCGCAAGTTTGAGCCCAGCCTGGGCAACTTAGTGCCTTAAGGAGACCTTGTCTCAAAGTAAAACATAAAAAGGGCTGGGGTGTAGCTCAGTGTGAAGGCCTTGGGTGCCTTCCTGCTGTCCTGGGTCCACTGCCAGAGCTCTAGGTGGCCTCTGAGGCTCCTGTCAGATGGCCCCACTGGCCATCTCCAGCTGCCCCAGCGATGGGCCACCCCTCTGCCAGGCTGCTAGCTGTCCTGCACGTTTGGTCCCTTGGCCTTGGGGGATCACATGGCTGTGCCCTCCCTCTGGCTCCTCTGCTCTGCTCTAGGGCCAGTGGGTCCCCCACTTCCTGGTGCCTGGTACCCTGAGCGTCTCCTAGGTTCAGCCCTTGCAGCTCCTGGTTCCGGAGGTACAGAGAGGCGAGAGGAGGTGCTTGATGGTTGTGTCCTGGGGTGCTAACCCCTGGCCGAGGCGGACTGACCATGTCCTCCTACTGCGTGATAGGGTGCTGGTGCTTTATTAGTGTCCTCAGCTGGTGGTTTCATGCTGGCCACAGTTGAGCATGAGTGTGACTGGCAGATTGGGGGTGCAGGGAAGGGGCAGGGCAGACATGATGGCTTGGGGCTGATGGGGGTCTCCCTGCTGCCTGGGCCCCCAGGGCATGGCCGGACCGACGAGGACTGTGCAGAGGACCGGGCCAGGCACCGGGAAGAGCGACTGCTCGGGGGACGGCTGGACCGGGACCAGGAGAAGCTGCTCCGGTGAGGGCTTGGGGGGTCTGGGGTCCTGGGAGTAAGGGGTCCCCGGGTGGGTCCCGATGCATCCTCTCTCCCTCCTGCCCCTGGGTGACCTGGGCCGTCCCCGAAGCCTCTGTTCTTCCTTCCAGAGAAAGCAAGGAGCTGGCTGACCTGGCCCGCTTGCACCCCACCAGCTGTGCTCCTAACGGACTGAACCCCAACCTCATGGTGACCGGGGGCCCGACGTTGGCGGGCTCAGGGCGCTGGTCTGCCGACCCCGCGGCCCACCTGGCCACACACCCCTGGCTGCCCCGCTCGGGCAGCACGTCCATGTGGCTCGCTGGCCACCCCTATGGTGAGCAGGGGCTTCAGGTCCCCTTTCTGTTTGGGGGGGATGGCAGGGGCCTGGGTGCAGGGCAGAGTGCTCAGAGCTGGCTCCTGTCTCACTCTGCTGGGGCCTGGCTTCCTGTCTTCTGCCCACCAGGGAAGTGCCTGGGGGGGGGGGGGCGCATGGAGCTGTTTGCAGTCGGCCATCGGCCCTGCGCCTGCGGCTCCTTCCTGGAGGCTTGGGAGCTGGCGGGGCGGGGGCTGGGGTTGGGTGAGCTGGGGCTGCTGGACAGATGCTCAGGGGCTTCCTGGCGCTAATGTGCACCTTGGTTCCTCTTCCTAGGTTTGGGACCCCCCTCTCTGCACCAGGGCATGGCACCTGCCTTCCCACCTGGCCTGGGGGCCTCCCTGCCATCGGCCTACCAGTTTGTCAGGGACCCCCAGTCAGGCCAGCTGGTGGTTATCCCCAGTGATCACCTGCCTCATTTCGGTAAGCGGCACAGTGCCTGGCCCTGCAGCATGGGGTTGGGACGAATGGGCTTAGAGAAAAGTCCCGACCTTGGTGGCACCCACGGAACCAGGCTTTGGGGGTCTTGTTTCTGGGAACTTGTATGTAGAAGCCCCATAAGGAGGGTCTGCCTGGGCAGCCCTAGGGGCCTTAGGTGTGCCAGCCCTTGGGGGTCCTTATGGTGGTGCTCTTGGGGCACTTGGGGCGGGGGATCTGGGAAGGCACGGGCTCAGGGTGATCTCCCCGCTGTGTCCCAGCAGCCGAGCTGATGGAGCGGGCTGCTGTGCCGCCCCTCTGGCCAGCGCTGTACCCGCCGGGCCGCAGCCCTCTGCACCACGCGCAGCACCTGCAGCTCTTCTCGCAGCAGCACTTCCTGAGGCAGCAGGAGCTCCTCTACCTGCAGCAGCAGGCTGCCCAGGCCCTGGAGCTGCAGCGCAGCGCCCAGATAGTGGTGAGTTGGCCCAGCCGAGAGGAGTGGATGCAGGGCGGGGTGGAGGGGATGGGACCCAGAGGCAAGGTTCTGGAAGGGCTTCCTGCAGGAGGCAGCGACGGAGCAGAGAGGGAAGGGATGGCGCTCCAGCAGAGGGAGCGGCTACACAGAGGCCCTCAGAGTGCCAGGCCCAGGGAGCCGTGGGGAAACCAAGGCAGAGTGGCTTGTGGCCTGGGAGAGATTTGGAGGGGAGGGAGGTCTGGGCTCGTCTCTGGGTGGCTGCTCAGAGCAGGCAGAGGGCCCACCTGCTGGCTGCTGATGGCCCTGAGCTCCCTTCTCAGTGAGGATGGGCCTCTTGAGCCAATGGGACAGGGCATGCAGGGTCCCCTTTGGGCTCAGGCTCCCTGGGGCCCGCAGTCCTCACATCTCCCTGGAGCATTATGGGAAAGCTGGGCTGGCTTCCACTTAATCCCCTTTCCCCTGGGCCGTGACCCTGTTGGATGGAGATGGCGGCTCTGTGGCCCAACAGACCCTGGCCCTGCAGCTCTGCCCACAGGTGCCCGGGCAAGTGACCTCTTCTCTGGCCTTGGGGTGAACAGAAATCTGGTCACTGCCAGTCACCGGGTTGCTGATGGCGGTTTGGTGATGGCGGAGCGGCCGGTCTTGGTTGATCTATGTGCCGACTGCTGGCCCCACGGGCTTTGCTCATTGTCCAGCTGCCCCCTCCCTCCTTTCCACCCATTTGTCATCAGCCCCAAGCATGGGCTCCTCCGACCTGGGAGGCGCTTGGACACCCACAGGTGACAGTGGAGAGAGTGCTCCTCTGCGGCAGCTGTCCTAACGCTGTGGAGGTGCCGGCTGTCATAGAAGCCCATGTCTCACCTTGAGGGTCCCAGCAGGGGTCCAGGGCGAGATCCCCACCTGCCCTGGGGAAGGGGCTGGGGGCCCACTGAAATTCCATGGAATCCTGTGCTTATTATGCGTGTGCCGTGATGGAATGTCTGTCTCAGGCCAGGGTGGGTGGCCGGGTGGCCTGGACCTCGGGCCTTGCCTGAGGCTCCCCCAGGCTGGGGGACCCCAGGGCTGGCCACACTGACCTTGCCAACTGCCCCCTCTGCAGCAGGAGCGGCTGAAGGCCCAGGAGCAGCGGGCTGAGATGGAGGAGAAAGTGAGCAAGCGAAGCTTAGAAGCTGCGGGCAAGGCTGGCCTGGCCACCACGGGCCCAGGGCTGCTGCCTCGCAAGCCCCCTAGCCTGGCCACCGGCCCTGCGGGCGCCTATAGCAAGACTGTGAGCCCACCACCTTCCCCCCGTGCCTCCCCCGTGGCTGCGCTGAAGGCCAAGGTCATCCAGAAGCTGGGGGATGTGGCCAAACCGCCCGCCTATGCCTACCCCGCCACGCCTCGCTCTCTCCCAAGCAGCCCGCCGCCTGCCTCCCCGCCACCCACGCCCGGCCTCACCCGGAAGGAGGAGGCCCCCGAGAACGTGGTGGAGAAGAAGGACTTGGAGCTGGAGAAGGAAGCCCCGAGCCCCTTTCAGGCCTTGTTTTCAGGTAGGAGTGAGGGCCGCCTGAGCTGGCTCTGGCTGGGGACACATGGACCCCATCGGTTTGATTTTTTTTTTTGAGGCACGGTGTCACTATACAGTGAAGGCTGGCCTTGAACTCACTTACGTAACTCAGACTGGCCTCAAACTGTGCTAGGATTACAGGCATGCGCCACCATGCCTAGTGCGATTTTTTTTTTTTTTTTTTTTTTGCTGTGCTTGGGATTGAACCCAGGGCTTTTTGCTCTAAGCTGCATCCCTGGCCCTTTCTTATTTTTTATTTTGAGATAGGGTCTCACCAAATCACGACGTTGCCCAGGTTGGGCTCAGACTCATCATTTTCCTGCCTCAGCCTCCCAGAGTGCTGAGATTACAAGAATGTTCTACCCGACCAAGCTTCATTCATTTTGAGTCTTTGCTGAGCACCTACTGTGTGCCAGGCCTCCTGCCAGACTGTGGAATGCATTTGCATGCACACAGACAGTCGTGGGTGGTTGTCATGGATGTAGGCAGATTATTAACCCTTGCTCCAGGAGGAGGGGAGTGGTCCTGAGTGTTAGGCAGAATAAGACCATAGAACTCTTCATGCTGAGTAATAGCTGTGCAGAGGTGCCTGTTCAGGGCAGCGGCCCTGCCAGCCCCATGTGTCTGCTGGGACCTGCGGCTGGTTTGGGGCTGAGCTGTGCCCTTCTCCAGAGACTGGTAAGGGAGTGTGCGCTTTAACTCTGGAGGACTTGGGTTCTAATTCAAATTTTGGTCCCGGTGCTGCATGAGCTCAGGCAGGTGGCTGCCCCTCTCTGGGGCAATTTACTGTGATTTATAGGTCGCTCTGATGCCTTCTTTGGGTTCTCTCTGAGCACCCGTGACCTGCCTGCTCTGGGCTGGGCCTGGGACTGCAGCAGTCCCTGCACACGCCCTGTGCTCAGGCTGGGCTGCTGGTGGGGGGTCAGAACTGTCACTTTGATGTTTTGAGCATCTGTGTCATTGGGCTGGGGCGCTGCATTCTCCTGCACCAGGAGCCCGAGACCCCCCAGCTGGGTGAGGAGGTTTGGGGCTTGTGGAGCTCACAGAGGATTTGCTTCTGGCCCGGCCGTATGCTGGGTGCCCAGGGAGTAAGGGTAGAAAGATGGACGTGGGCGACCCTTCCCCAAAACCCTTAGGGACCAGTGGTGGTTCATTCATACCTCTGAGGCCCACGTAGGTGGATGGGTCCTGGCATTTCTCAGATCACCCGGGAATGTTCCCAGCCCTGTAGCCTGTCAGGCAGAGCATGGCTGTGGCTTGGCTCTTTGTCCTGGGTGGTGGACAGATGGGGACACAGGCTGTTGGACCCCTAGGGGTCCCCACACTGATACGTGGTATTCTTGGCAGACATCCCCCCGAGGTACCCGTTCCAAGCCCTGCCACCGCACTACGGGAGGCCCTATCCGTTCCTGCTACAGCCCACGGCAGCCACCGACGCCGACGGCCTGGCCCCTGACGGGCCACTTCCGGCCAACGGCCCCGAGCGCCTGGACCTCTCGCCCGAAGACAAACCCATCTGCCTGTCGCCCTCTAAGATCCCTGAGCCGCTGCGGGAGTCCCCGGAAGAAGAGCCGCTGCCCGACCGGGAAGTGAAGGCCGAGGTGGAGGACGTGGACGAGGGCCCCGCGGAGTTGCCACCGCTGGAGTCACCGCTGACCCTGCCTGTCCCCGAAGCTATGGTTGCGGCGAGCCCGGCAGGCAGCTGTGGAGGTGGCCTGCGGGAGGCTCAGGTGCTGGGCGCCACAGGGCAGGGCTGCCCAGAGCCCTCTGAAGACTCAGATTTTGCAGAGGGAGCCGAGGCGCAGGTGGAGTTGCCGCGGAGAGAGTCCCACACAGCTGTCCTGGAGCTGACGGGCCGGCTGTCGCCTGAGCCCCTGGTAGAGACTAAGGAGGAGCCAGTGGAGGTGCCCCTCGATGTGCCCCTGGAGAGCCCCGTGGCCGAGGCTGGGCCTGAGGAAGGCCTGGCACAGCCGGCCCTGAGCGAGCCCCAGCCCAGCCTCGAATTGTTGGACTGTGACCTGTCTGCCAGGGAGGGACAGTGCCCCAATCTAGAGGCCCAGGAGGCTGTGCCTGTGCCTGCCGGCACCTGCTACCTGGAAGAGGTGACTTCAGACCAGTTCCTGCCTGGCCTGGAGGACCCGCTGGCTGGCATGAACGCCCTGGCGGCTGCAGCAGAGATGCCGCAGGCCAGGCCTCTGCCTTCCCCAGACACGGGAGCCCAGGTTGTGGAGAGGCCAGACACTACCCCAAGTCTGGTCCTGGAGCAGGGATTCCTGCAGGGCATCACCCTGCTGAGTGAGATCGCGGAGCTGGAGCTCGAGAGGAGGAGCCAGGAGGTGGGAGGTGAGTGCTGCACTTAGTGGTTGGTTTTGCGGTTCTTATTTAAAAAATTTTTAAGCTGGGCATGATGATGCATATCTGTAATTCCCAGTACTTGGGAGGCTGAGGCAGAATGATTGCTGGGAGTTTGAGGCCAACCTGGGCTACATCATAGGTTCAAAGCCAGGCTGTGCTATATAGTGAGACCTTGTCTCAAAAAGCTAAAAATAATTTTTAAAATAAACAATTTTTCTAACTTTGAAGAGCCGCAGAATAGAGCTTGTTCATACTAGTTTTCAAAGAATTGTGATAAAATACAACAAAATATACCAGCTTGGCAGTTTTGAAGTATTCAGTTAAGTAGTTCAGTTAAGAAGCCCATTCACATTATTGTGCAGTCAATCTCTGGGTTTCCTGGTAGTAAAGTTTTTCCTCCTTTTTTCACAGATGTGTTTGTATTAGCATGATTCTTTGAGTATAAGGAACAGACATTCCCATTTAAACTGGCTTTTAAAAAGGGAGGAGATAATTTATTAGCTTAGGGAACCAAAGTTGAGCAGTCGTGGGGCAGTTTCAGGTCTGGCTGGATCCAGGTGCTCAAAAGTCATCAGCAGTTTCACTTTGTGTCTGCACCCTCTTCCTGTAGTCTGTCCTCCTCCCTCTTTCCCTGTTCCACTTTCTTCTCCGGTGGCCTGGTTTGAGGCCAGCTCTTTGTCCTCATAGGGGTGCTCTACCAACTCCGCCCAGGCCATCCCTTTCCTAGGAGCTCTGGCCAAAACACTGAGATTCCCGGGGGCTGGGGATTTAGCTCAGTGGCCCAGCGCCTGCCTGGCAAGCGCAAGGTCATGAGTTCGATTCCCAGTACCAAAAAAACCCCAACCAAACAAACAAAAAACCAAGAAAAACCACTGAGATTCCTTCTCACGGGCTGACTTGGGGTCATGCTGGTTTTTTTGGCAGGGGGTGTTAGTGGTGCTGGGAATCCCTGCCACTGAACTGTCCCCTCCACAACCTGCTACTTTTGGAGCCAGGACTTGCTGTGTTCTCCACATTGGCCTTGAACTCCTAGGCTCCAAGGATCCTCTCACTTCAGCGTTCCAATAGCTGGGACTACATGGTTCATTTTTTCCCCCTGTAGTATTGGGCTTGAACTCAGGGTCTTCCCACTGAGCTGCATCTGTAGTCCTTTACTTTGACACAGGATCTCACTGGGTTGCCCAGTTTGGGCTTGAACTTGCTATCCTGCCTCAGCGTCCCAGAGTGCTATGTTTATAGGTGTGCACCACTGTGGCCGGCTGGTTTGTGCTTTTTTTTGTGTGTGTGTGGCTTGTGCATTTGACAGCAGCAAATCCTGAGGTTGGTGAGGTGGGCCAGACTGTCACACCCGCTGGTCACTTCCAGAGTGCAGGGCGGGCTGTAAGGTGTCCCTTTGGCGGGAGGGGCAGTGAATGCTGTTCAGCACGGGGAAGTGAGGCGCTCCAGCACCCCAGGCAGGACTGGACCCTACTGCTGAGGAGGGGCTGGCACGGGCCGTGGGGAGAGGCTGATGTCCTTGCCCTGTTCTGTGGGTGCCCTCAGCGCTTGTCCTGTAGCGGGTTCACGTACGTTTACCTCCAAAATGCAGATCATCGTGCAGACAGTGCTCTGCAGTCCTGCTTGTTCATGTAATAGACTTTTTTTTTTCGGTCTTTTTGAGACAGGGTCTCCCTGTGCAGTTCAGGCTGGCCTTGAGCTCACTTTGTAGCCCAGGTAGGCCTCGAACTCGCAATGATCCTCCTGCCTCAGCCTCCCGAGTACTGGGATTACAGGCGTGCGACACCACGCCCGGTTACATAATAGATTCTTAATGAAACATTTTTCAAAGCTGTGGTTTTTATGTATGTTTGAGACAGAGTCTTGCTATGTAGTTCAGGCTGGCCTTGAACTCACTAGCTAGCCCAGGGTGGCCTGGAGCTCACATCGATCCACCTGCCTCAGCTTCCTGAGTGCTGGGATTACAGGTGTGCGCTATGATGCCTGGCAAAGCTGTGGGTTTTAGAAAAAATTTTTTCTAATACTAAGGATTGAACCCAGGGCCTTTACACTGAGCTACATCCCAGCCCTCTTAAAACTTTTTTATGTTGAGACAATCTAGCTGTGGTGCTAGATTGCCCAGGCTGTGTGATCGTGATCCTCCTGCTTCAGCCTCCTAGAGTGTGTGTGCACCTGCTTTAAGAAACATTGTTTTTAGAGACTGCTTGATTGTCTACCTGGCCGTGGCCCTGGTACTCGATGGCCCAGTCCTAGGTTGTCAGGCATTCTTGTTTGCCTTGTTATTCTTATTTTGCTATTGCAGATGGCATTATGGTTATCCTTGTGGAAAAACATTGTCCTGCTCTGATTCTCTTGGCTTGTGTTCCCAGCAGTTGTACTGTTGGGTCGCAGGGTTGCCTTCGTTTTGGTCCTCATGGTCAGGTGGCCTGGTGTGGTGTCTCATTGGCTATGTGACAGAGTCCCCCTGTCATCCCCCACAGAGACTTTGTCTGTGTGGTTGTTCTGAACTCCATTTCTCTGTCATTAAAATACTGACTGAAGCTGGGCGTGGTAGCACACAGCCTGTAATCTCTGTACTCTGGGAGGCCGAGGCAGGAGGATCTCAAGTTCGAGCCCAGTTTGGGCAACTTAGTGATTTAGCAAGACTGCTCTCAGAATAAAAAACACAAAAAGGGCTGGGGATGTAGCTCAGTGTGAAGGTCCTGGATTTAATCCCCAGTATTGCCCAAAGCAAAGTAAAGGTCACTGGAGTTTTTTTGAACAGAAGAAACTGAAAAGCTTGTGGATTCCACTAACTGGTGGCGGATTTTCTTTCATGAGGCCTCAGGAGGGCCTAGAGGGGACTGGGAGGGTAGGGCCTGTGTTCAGGAAGTGGCTATGGGGATGGGGAGGGATGTGGTTTGTGGCTCCTGCCCACCTCTGCCCTCTGCCTGGTGCTCTGCGCAGCCTGGTCTGGCTAGAGTCAGTATCCTGAGGGCCTCCCGGGACGCTGAGGCTGCCTGACACCTCACCAGAGACGGGGCGACTTCAACAAGGGAAAGTTTGCGTTTCACAGTTTTGGAGGCTAAAAGTGTTTTGTTCGCTTGGCTTTGGGTGCTAGGGATTGAACTCAGGGCCTTTGCACTGAACTATATCCCAGTCTTTTTTTTTTTTGAGCCAGGGTCTCACTAAGTTGCTCAGGCTGTGGGCTGGGGATATAGCTCAGCCGCACAAGTGCCTGCCTGGCCAATGCAAGGTAATAAGTTCGATTTTTGGTACCAAAAAAAAAGTTGTTTAGCCTGGCCTTGAACTTTTGGTTCTCCTGCCTCAGCCTCGTGGGTCGTTGGGATGTCTTGAGACCACATGTTGGCAGGACTGGCTTCTGCTGAAGGCCACAAGGGCCAGTCGCGTGGGCTTGTGGGTGGCCATCCTTGCCCTGTGTCTTTCCCATGTGCTTTGTCTTGTCTCCAAATTTCCTTCCCTTGTCGGAAGGGAAGTGGCTCCAGCCATGTTGGATTTGGGCTCATCCTAAATGTTGCGTCAGCTTGGTGGCTGGGTGTGCTTACATTCTGAGGTACCGGGGGTCAGTCCAGCATTATGTTGTGGGGACACAACTGAGCCCTTAATGGCTGGCCCAGAGGTCACTCAGGTGCCTCTTGAATGTCATTTGAAGACCTCAGCACAGTTAGCTTGTTGGAGGGAGGAGATGACAAAAGTGGTGTCTTGGTCCTCTTCTGTAAGACAGAGTAGCTGTCCCTGCCTTACCTAGGACCGTGAGGGGCGCAAGGTGGAGCAGAGGTGTCACCTCAGACCGGGCTGCCTGCTGTAGTCTGACACAACTCACGGGAGGGGGTGGAATCTGCTGCCACATGGCCATTGATTGGTTGATTGATTGATTGAGGCAGGGTCTCACTATGTAGTTCAGGCTGACCTTGAACTTACTATATAGTTACTCCAGGCCTCAGACTCATAGTGATCCTCCTGCCTCAGCCTCCCAAGCACTAGGGTTACAGGTATGCGCCATAAATCCCAGCTCCTTCCCGCCTTCTGAAGCAGTTCTGGAGTTCCTCTTTCCTGAGTCTTTAGTTGCACTCTTATGGGTGCCTCTGTATCCTGAGTTGATTCAAAACATTTCCCTTTTATAGTCGTTTTGACTTTAGGGGAAAAGCTAGAAGTTGGAAGGTACCAGATCCAGTGAACAAGGTAGATGAGGACACAGGGTCATGTTTGCAGGAGGCTGCCTTTCCCTTGGATGGCACGTGGCAGGAGCATTCATAGTATTTTGATTGCACCTTGTAAAGACATGAGACTTCAGAACTGCTTCAGAAAGTGGCAAGAACGATGGGATAGCTGTGTTGGAAGTAAGGGGGAGGACTTTGGGGGGGAGCTAGTGCTTATATGTCTCTTGCTGTAATAAGTTTTTAAAATCTAAGCACTTGTGGGGCGTGGTGGCGCACACCTGTAAGCTCAGCACTTGGGAGGCTGAGGCAGGAGAATGGTTGGGAGTTTGAGACCAGCCTGGGCTACAAAGTGAGCTCAAGGCCAGCCTGATCTGAATAGCGAGACCCGGTCTCAAAAAGACAAAAAAAATACAGTAAAATTTAAGCACTCACTGTATATTTAAATTTTTTTTTTTTCCCACTATGTATTTTGATCAGCTCTCTTATGAGGGCAAAACCAGAGATTGTCAGCTAGTGGGATTCTGCCCCCTAGGGGAGAGTGGTGGTAACATTTTGCCTGTCACAACTTCAGGGGTGCAATGCTGACATCTAGTGGGAGAAGTCAGGGCGCTCCTAGCCTCCTGCAGCAGCAGCCATGTAGCCAAGGCAGGTGCGGGGGCAGATGTGCTCAGAGCCGGGGAAGCGTGGTCCTCCACACTATCCTGCTGAACGTCCACCTTCCGGAACTTATACCGGTGACAGAATAGCCTTGTCCCCTCACGCACATCTGTAACATGCATGACAATGGATCATGTTTTAGATCAGAGGGGAGTGTCAATTTAAACATTTTGATAAAGCTCCTTTCAATTTGGTGAAGACAGAAACTAGTTCCCTTCTCCTGCCTCTGGGTTCTGGTTGGAATGCACTTTGGGAGAGGTGGTGAATGCTTTTTTGGGGAAATGACCACATTTCAACCCCGGGGGGGTCACCTAGTTGGAGGTTTCCTATCGCTGGCTGTGTCTCTCCTTCCACTGACGGAAAGATCAAAAGCCTGGCATGGTGGTGCGCACCTGTAATATTAGCACTCTGGGAGGCTGTGTCAGGAGGGCCTCAAATTGGATCCTTCCCTGGGCAGCTTAGTGAGACCTTGTCTCAAAAAATAAAAAGGGGCTGGGGATGTAGCTCAGTGGGAATCCCCTGGGCTCAATCCCCAGCACTGGAAAAAAAAATCAGAAACAACCTAAATGATATGAGTGGTGATTTTTAGATGAATTAAAACTCACTAGCGCAAGAAAATTCTACACTGGCGTTAGATTTTTCTGAGTACAACTGCCCATATTCTAGTGTTCTGTTTTGTTTTTTTGACACAGGGTCTTGCTATGCAGTTCAGACTGGCGTAGAACTTAGGATGCTGCCGAGGCTGGCCTTGAGTGTGCAGTGATCCTCCTGCCTCAGCCTCCTCAGTGCTAGGTTACAGGCATGTACCACTGAACCTGGCTGAAGTGCTTTTGACCTTCAGAAATGGTGATTTTGCTGGGCGTGGTGGTGCAGCCTATAATCCCAGGCAGGAGGATTACCACAAGTTGGAGGCCAGCCTGGGCAACATACTGAGTTCAAAACTGGCCTGAACTGCATAGTGAGACCTTGTCTCAAAAAAGAAAAAAAAAAAAAAGATTTTTACAAGGGTCAAGCTAAGCATGAGAAGAGGCAGACCTGTATGTTATGTGCTGACAGAGACACGCAGCAGAGGAAGTGAAGTATGGTGGTTGATATGTATCAGTGGACTCGGTTTTATGTTTTCCCAGAATGCCTGTGCATGCTAGGATATTATTACCCACACGTAAGCGTTTCTGGAACTACTAAACAGTGACCAGTCGCTCGGCAGCCTCCCTGGGGAGGGGTCTGCGTGGTGGGAGGAAGAGTGCTTTCCTTTCTCCACACCTTTGTGCTTACTGTGCCTTGTTTTCTATCCTGGGATCCTCTTCCTTTCCCTCTCCCTCCTCTCCTCCTCCTCTTACTTTTTCTATTTTTTTTCATTCTCTTCCTTCTATTTTTTTTTTTTTTTTTTTCCCAGCACTGAGATTGAACCCAGGGCATTTGCACTGAGCTATATTACTCTCCCTTTTTCAAATTTTTGAGACAGGCTCTCACTAAGTCACGAAACGAAGCTGTCCAGGCTGGGCTGGAGCTTGTGATCCTCCTGTCTCAGCCTCCCAGAGTGTGGTGATTACAGGCGTGTACCACCAGGCCGACTTTTTTTTTTCTGATGGGAGCTATGTGTATTCACTGGAGAGAGTGCCCTACTCCTAGTTAGAAGAAACCTGTCGGCCTCTGGCGACCGTGCTGAGTGTTCTGTGCTCCCACACAGTGTGGGCTGAGACCAAGCTGCATGTGGCATCTTTTTTTTTTTTGTTTTTGTTTGTTTTTTTCCGGTACCGGGAATGGAACTCACGACCTTGCACTTGCCAGGCAGGCGCTGTACCACTGAGCTAAATCCCCAGCCCCCTGCATGTGGCATCTTGCCTGCCCAATCCTCTTAGCACCATGTCCTGCGTCTCTGGAAGGCCTTAGTCCAGGTTGCCCAAGGTGCCATGAAGCCTGGGGCCTGTGCCGGCTCTGGGCCTCCATCCTCCTCCCTGCTTGGGATCACCGGGGGGGCTTGGCTGCAGTGCTGGCTCCTCCCCTTGTGGCTCACCCTCTTCCTGCCCGCAGGTGCGGAGCCTGGCCCAGCCGTGCGGCCCTCGCTGGAGAGCCTGCTGGCGGCCGGCAGCCACATGCTCAAGGAAGTGCTGGACAGCCCCTTCGTGGATCCGCTCAAGAACCTGCGGCTGCCCCGGGAGCTGAACCCCAACAAGAAGTACAGCTGGATGCAGAAGAAGGAGGAGCGGGTGAGTGGCACTGGCCTTCCCCTGCCTGTGGCCTGGGAGTAGAGGTGGGACACCAGCGACACAGAGGTGGCTCCTTCCTGGGGCATAGCTGGTTTTGGAGCCAAAGGGGCCTCATCTGCACCTGGCTTCCTCCACCGACTTGGTGTGGGGCCCTGAGCAGTCATTTTCCCTCCGGGTTTATTTCTTTTTTCACACTAGTAGGGGTTTAAACCAGGGCCTCTGCACTGAGCTACGTTCCCCAGGCCTTTTTATTTTGAGACCAGGTCTTTCTAACTTGCTCAGACTGGGTTCAAACTTGGGATCCTCCTGCCTCAGCCTTCCAGAGTGCTGGGATGACAGGTGTGTGCCACCAGGCCCGACTTGGTTTTGGTTTGGTTTTCTGTCTGATACCTCCTTGGGCATATCACCCAAATGGCAGCTGGGTAGACTAGGAAGAAAGCAGCTTGGGTGCCCCTCGTGGCTGTGCCCTCTGCTGCCTGTTGGGCTTTGGGCACGTGCTGCCTGTTCTCTGGACCTCGGGCCCATGCACGACACCAGGCTCATCCTCCTCCCTGAGCCCTTGGGACAGGAGAGGAACTGTGCTTCAGCCGAAGCATCTTAACTGAGCACTCACACTGTCCTGCTGTGGTCTCTGGCACAGAGAGGGGCCCAGGCCACAAGTAGTAAGTGGCAGCAACAGGATTTGAGCTGGGCCCTCGCTGTCCCGACCTGTGAGTGGCTACCTGACAAGGAGCCCAGCAGTCGCTGGCATTGCCATCCTCACCACTCTCCCCGTCCCTCTCCTTGGCCCCTCCAGATGTTTGCTATGAAGTCTTCCCTGGAAGACATGGATGCCCTGGAGCTTGACTTCCGGATGCGGCTGGCGGAGGTGCAGCGCCAGTATAAGGAGAAGCAGCGTGAGCTCGTGAAGCTGCAGCGCCGCCGGGACTCCGGGTGAGTGCCTGGCCCAGGTCCCTGGGCTAGCTGGCCTGCCAGGTGGTCAGGCTGTGGCAGGCGGGTGCCTGGGCCGTGCCACGCTGGTACTGGGCTCAGTAGGTAGGCTGTGGTGGCTGCCAAGTGTGCGTGGACCCTAGTGATGTGTGCGCAGCGTGTGCCCCTCTCCGCGCCTGGCCTACCCCCAAGTTCACAGCCAAGCCTGTGGTTCTCTTTAAGGGACAGGCACGAGGATCCCCATAGAAGCTTGGCACGCAGAGGCCCTGGCAGGCCGCGGAAACGGACCCACGCCCCGAGCGCCCTGTCGCCCCCCCGCAAGAGAGGGAAGAGCCACAGCAGTAGCGGAAAGTAAGGCTGGCCCCTCGGTGGGTCGGGGACTGGCACCCAGCTCGGAGGGGAGGTGCAGGGCCCAGTGCGGTGCCTGCGCCCGGGGACCTTGAGTCCCCCGGGCTCTTAGCCCCCTGGAACAGCAGCTCCTAGGGAGCTCGGCGCGTTGCCCAGGCACGCAGGGCAAGCGAGGCTGGGACGACTGACCGGCGAGAGGTCGCCCTGCGGCCTAACGCGAGTGCTTGGCCCCGCCTCCTGCCAGTCTGTGCTTTCACGGCCAGGGCCTAACTCCTTGCCCTCTCCACGCACCTCCTCACTGCAGAGCCGCCAGCCTTGCCGTGACCGCCTCTGACCCGTGCTGTCGCTTGGTTCCTTCCGTGCTGGACATTTCCCCATCCTACTGGCCCAAACTGCTGGCTCTTCCTGACTGAGACCAGGGCCACTGCCTCTGTGTGCTCTGGGGACGAGGTCCTCGGTGGCAGTGGCAGCAGATTAGTGTGGCACCAGTGGAAATGGCCTTGTATGCTGGCTGGGAAGAGTGCCTCCCCTCCAGGGCCAGGCCTTGTCTTCCCTGGGCATCGCTGGGTGCCCGGTGACAAGCTGAATAAGGAAGGGAGCTGCAGTATGCCGTGGCCTTGCAGCCGGGGCCATGGCAGTCAAGGCTATGGAAGCAGAAGGAAAGAGCCCCTGCAGCCTTCCAAAGGTGCCTGAGAGGCAGCGGACAGCTGTGGGGCTTCACAAGAGAAAGCTATGCACAGCCCGAGAATCTCTCAACTTTATTCCCTTGGATGTTCCTGACTGAAGAGAGGATGGAGAGAGGAAGAGATGCAGAGCCGCCAGCCAGAGCGGGGCAGGCCAGAGTCTCCCGGAGAAGACAGCACACAGCCGTGGCCTGGCAGGGCTGTGGGCCCAGGGGGCTCAGACTTCCTGCTGAGTTCCAGGTCCACCCCTTCTGTGACCTCAGACAGGTGTTAGCTTTTTCAGGCTTCAGTTTTCTCATCTATTTAAAAAAAAAAAAAAAAAAAAAAAAAGCGGAAAAAAAAAACCCGCACAGAACAACATGTTGTTCTGTGGCTAAAATAGAAGGCACCTACAGTGCAAGACAGTGTAAGCACCGAGCCAAGATGAGCCGCTTTTATTACCCATGGAGCTTCAGCTTAAAGTGAGGAAGAAAAGCTTTTGTCCATGTCCCAGCTGCCTGGACTCACAAGAAATGGGAGGCTAGCTAACAGCTCCTTCATTTAAGCTCCTGATCTTAATTCTCCCTCCATCCTGGTGGATTTCCTTGGTGTTTCTGATCCTGGTTTTTGGCATATTTGGTAAAGATGTAGTTTACTGTTCAAAGATGACTCTGTGTGTGTGTGTGAGAGAGAGAGACAGAGAGAGAGAGAGGGAGGGAGGATGTGTGAAAAGAGATGAGAGGCCAGCGGAGGATGCCGGCTTGAAGTTTTGTTTCTTCTTTCACGTAATACTCTCATTCTGCCTTATTCACAAACATCCCAGCATTCTAGCACTGTAGTTTTGCAAGATCTGTCTTCTCACATGGGTGCTATAGGATCCAAAACGGTGCTTCAGCCTCCAGAGCCCAGCCTTGAGGGCCACAAGGTGGACCCCAGCCCTGGAGGGTGGCCTGGCCGGCGTGCTGACCAGCGTGCGTTTGGGTTTCAGGCTGAGCAGCAAGTCCCTGCTGACACCGGATGACTATGAGCTGGGAGCCGGGATAAGGAAGAGACACAAAGGGCCCGAGGAGGAACACGACGCTCTCGTTGGAATGGGGAAAGCCAGGGGCAGGAACCAGAGCTGGGATGAACAGGAGGCCTCGTCCGACTTTATGAGTCAGGTCAGTAGCCCAGTCTGCTGTGATCCTGGGGTCAGGGGTCCAGAGGTCGCAGGTCTCTTGGTCCCTGCTGCTGTAAGGAATGGTTACTTTCCCCTAAGGGCCAGAGGAAATCAGGGACTTAGCAAAGTAACACAGCCTCAGAAGCAGAACCAGAACTAAATCTGTTTGTGTGCTCCTTGACCCTTTGCTGAAACCAAGTAGGGAGATTGCAAGTTCTTAGCCAAATAATGCAATTACTCTGTTGTTTAACAGTGTAATTGTTTAACAAGCAGCTCCATCCTTTGGAAGTTCTAAAAAACAAGGGCCTGATGCCATTGTAATTTCCTCTGTGAATTCTCCAGGGGTAATGGGGTGAGAGCCAACTCCTTAATTTTTCTTACTTCTGCAGAGCATTGAAATCACCCACTTAAGGGCCTCATCTCCAAATGCTAATGTACCTTGTCATCCCTCCCCACGAGGCCCTGTGTTAGGGGGATGTTTTGGTTGATTTGGCCGTCAGAATGGGGAGGGCAGAGGGAGACGGGCCCAGGACTAGAAAGATCCACAGTTTGTACAGATCCACAGTTTGTACGCCAGGATCCTTTTTAATTTCAAATCGTGGTGAGGGATGCTTTTGTTGTTGTTTAAATGACAGTGTCTTTCGTCTTTATGAAATGCTACCTGATTAGAGAAAACAGATAACATGTTGAAATGCAGGGCATTAATGGCTTTGAAACTGCATTTCACGTCAGCAAATGAATACAGTTGCCGATAGGCCTGCAGAGCCGAAATTTAATCTGTGAAATCTCTAATTATTCTTTCTGCTTCAGGCATCCAAGACACACTTCAGGCATTTTCTTGGCAGTCTGGCCCTGTTACTTAGGCGGGCTGGCTTAGACTGTTCAGCAGTCTCCTTTAGCTGCTATAGGTGGTTGAGATAAGCAGATCAGCATGCTCTGGTTTAGGTTATTTATTTATTTTACAGTACTGGGGATTGAAATGGAGCTATATTCCCAGCCCCCCCCCCCTTTTTTTTTGAGACAGGGTCTCACTAAAATTGCCCAGGCTGGCTTCACCTTGCAGTCCTCCTGCCTCTGCTTCCCAGGATGCTGAGATTATAGGCCTTGTGCCACAGTGTGCCCACCTAGGTTTTCAATCTTACTTTGCTTTTTCCCCCCTCTCTCAACTCAGCTACCTTCTCTGGGCCATCAGCAGCTCTGCCTACTTAAAGTGCTTCTCTAGGAGGTACCGGATAGTGCTATGAAACGTCAGTGTGGAAATGCCAGGGCCAGGGATGATCGTAACCATAGTAACAGCTATTTAATAAGTGGTTACTTTGGGCCAGGCACTTCGGTAATTTTTTTTTTTTTTTTTGGAGACAGGGTCTTGCTATATAGTTCAGGCTGGTCTTATCTCAGTTCATCATCAGAACAGCCTGGAGATGTCTAGACACAAATGTCCTCGTTTTACAGAGTGAAGGACTGAGGTGAGAGGAGCTCAGCAAGTCAGTCCTGAGGAAGGACTGGAGCCCAGGACTGTCGAGAGCTGTGCACTCAAGCCCACTGTCTTGTCTTGCCAGATGTCCTAACCTGTGACCCAACTTCCCTCCCCAGCTAAAGATTAAGAAGAAGAAGATGGCCAGCGACCAGGAGCAGTTGGCAAGCAAGCTAGACAAGGCCCTGTCCCTCACAAAGCAGGACAAGTTGAAGTCACCCTTCAAGTTTGCGGACAGTTCTGGGGGAAAATCGAAAACTAATGGGGGTTGTGGCAGGTTCTTAACTCCTTATGACAGCCTGCTGGGCAAGAACAGGAAGGCTCTGGCCAGAGGCCTGGGCCTGGCCCTGAAGTCCTCTAGAGAAGGTAAACACAAAAGGGCCGCCAAAGCCAGGAAGATGGAGGTGGGGTTCAAGGCCAGAGGCCAGCCCAAGTCGGCTCATTCCCCTTTCGCCTCGGAAGTGAGCAGCTACTCCTACAGTAAGTAGCCGGTGCCGCGCTGCCTCCTGGCCACTTCTCCTCTCCTTTCCTGGTCTTGATTCTTTCTCTCTCTCTCTGGGAACACTCTTTAAGCTCTTTTGGCTTTGCGCTTTCTATACCGGAAGTGGGAAGCGCCTGAAGCGCACGTGCCTGTCATTGGCAGAGGCCGTACGGGCAGGTGCCTGTGATTGGTGGGTGTCTGTGACTGGCGGGCGGGGACCGCCGTTTGCCCGCCCTCTGGTAGTGGCTTCGCTCTTCCACCGGAAGCCCTGTGCGTGGAGTTCTAGAGTACCGTAGAGTTTGCGCCTGCTCGTCCTAGAGAGTCCAGGAATGCGATTGCTTTTGAGAGTGCTAGAGGTAACCGACTCTCTTGCCAGTTGGAAGCTCACGGTTACTTCGCGCGTGGCTCCGAACCGGAGGCTTCATGGGCGTGGTTTGGCTGTACCTGTGGCAGCCCCACAGCGGGGTACCCTTGTTTTGTTGCTGAGGCTGCCCAGGCCCCGGGGGTGGAGGGAAGGGTGTGCGCCTAGGTGGAGCGAGGAGAGCAGCTCATGGGCCAGATCCGCTTCGGCCTCATCCCTGCGGCAATGGTTGGCCGGCCTCCGTGGTCCCTTGTGACTGTTGAGCTCTTGCAGTGGAGCGCAGAGGCTGTGGTTGTGCAGTTGTGGTTTCCCCAAGCGCGGCGTCTCCCCGGGGTCCGAAGGCTGCTGCTACATGGCAGGTAAAAGGTGCTAGCTCGGTGTTCGTGGCCCGAGCACCGCCTGTGTCCGCGGTGGGAGGGTACCGAGCACACAGTAGCTCCAGGAGGGCTTCTTGGGACCAGGCTTGCGTCCGAGTCTGTGTATTCTGGGAGTCCCCAGTCCCTGTATACGTGGAGGGCTTCTGTTGGGCGCTGCCAGGGTCTCTGCCCTGGGCTTTTGATGGGCTGTGGTTAGATCCCTGTGAGTGTTTGCGTTTAGAGGGGACGGGGATGCAAGACAGGTGTAAAAAATGGAAGCGTTTGATGTCACAAGTGTTTTCTTCTCTCCTGCCGTCTTTTTTCCTTCTCTCTTTCCTAGTCTTTCTTTGTTCTTTTCCACCTCTTCCTTCTTTCCATCTATCCTTGATTAAACCTCAGGACCTTTGCACTGAGCTACATTCCCATCCACTTTAAAAATTTTGAGACAGGGCTTGTCTTTGTTGTTAAATTACCCGGTCCGGGCTTGAACTTGAAATGCGCCTGCCTCAGCCTCCCAAGAGTACTGGGATTGCAAGCATACACTGTGGTGTTTTCTTAAGAAAAGAAAATAAAAGTAGTTATGGGTTTGGAGGTAAAACCTCATCTCCTGCTCTTCAGGGTTCTTGGGAGCCTTAAGTGGGCAGAGCTGAACGCTGTGTCTTGGTGCAGGATTAAACTGTCGTTATGATTTAGCAAGTGTGTTTCTGTTTTTCCTAGACTAGTGGTCCTCCAGGACCAATGTGCCATCAGGTGAGCCAAGCAATGTGTCTTGTTGTTACATGGCCTGGTCTGGGCTTGAACTTGAAATGTGCCTGCCTCAGCCTCTCAAGAGTACTGGGGACATGCTTGAGGACATAGCGTACAAAATCACCATGGCTTCAGTGCCCCTCTGACCTGGATGGGTATGTTCTGACAGCACTGCCGAGGCCCCTGGCCTTGTGCTCTGAAGGGGAAGAGGATTTTCTTTTGTTCTGTTTCTGCTCAGTTTGGAATAATGAGAACTGAGGGGGAGGACTGCTTGGCTGCGGCCTGAAAGGCTGTCGCACTCCTTAGCTTGCAGTCAGTGGGGTAGGGTAGGTAGAGGTAGAGGTCACCGATGAGTTTGTGACCTAAGGTCTTGGTGGTGCCCCAAGCAGTCCCATCCACTGCAGCAGGCATGTTGTGTTCTTGGGAGTGAGAGGAAATGTTCCATTTGTCCAGCCGGGTGCTGTGGCACATGCTTGTAATCCCAGCACTTGGGAGGCTGATGCAGAAGGATCTCCATGAGTTTGAGGCCAGCCTGAGCTACATAGTGAGACCCTGTCTCAAAACAAAACAAGACAAAACACCCCCAAACTGTCCAAATTGTCCATCTAACTTCGTTACGCCCTTGTCTAAACTCCACTGGCTGTGGGAGGGAAAGGGCTAGCATTTGAACAGGGAAGTCAGCCGGCCTGTCTCCACCCTGTGGTGGTTATGGGAAGCACCTGGCTGTGAAAAGGGCCTTCCTTCTTTTCCCTTCCTGCCTTCATACTGGGGATTGATTGAACCCAGGTGCACTCTACCACCGAGCCGTGTACATGCTCAGCCCTGTAAAATTTTTTGTTAGTTTGAGACAGTCTCACTAAGTTGCCCAGTGGGACTTGTGGTCTTCCTGCCTCAGCCTTCCGAAATGCTGGGATCGCAGATGTGCACTGCCCCGCCCGGCTTTCCTTTCCTTTCTCTAGTTTGCTTCCATGTGGTTCTGGGTGATTGGGCAGGCTCGGCGTGGAGATGCTGCCCTGGCAGAAGGAGGAGGAGGGGATGGTGCCTCCTGCTGTTGCAGTTTGGAGTGCAGGGATGGGGGGGTGCCTGCTGGTTCTTGTGGGAAGCCAAGTTGACATCTCTGGCCGGCAAGTGGCCTCAGAAGGGACAAGTTGGAACACGTGACAGGAAGAGCTAGGAAGAGCTAGGGCTGTGGCAAGGGCTGGAGGCTTGGTAGGAGTTGACCTTGCCCTGCCTTAGATTTGCTAGGCTGTCCTGAACTTGGGGTCTGGTTGGAGTAGAAAGCGGAGGTATTGGCGGAAGCAGCCAGGGCCCCCCACCCCCTGTGTGTGTTTCCCTTGGCCTTGGGCAAGGCCGGGCATCGCCGGAGCTGGAGCTGTGTGTGTCAGTGTTCTTCCGCTTGGCTTGGGTTCTAGCAGATCAGGAGAGCAAGAGGATGCATGTTGGGGTTGAGGCAGGAAGAGACCAGAGCTCTGCCTCCTGACGAGCTCCCCGCGAGCTGTTGCTTGTTTCCCAGGAGGGTTCAAGAACCCTGCTGCTCAATCTCGTAGCTCAGCTGGAGACACCAAAAGCCAGGGCAGGCGTGGCAGGGCAAGGACGGGGGTGTGTCTGTTGTGACATCGTTCGCGGACTTCCTTGGTGTGAGTGTTCTCACCGAGGCCCGTGTGAAGCTGTCGTGGCACGGTTGCTGAGCAGGGTTGTTGGAAAAACTGTGTGCGCGTGCCTCTGTCGGGAGACCTTTCCCTTTCGGCCCTCATCCTTCCCCAGAAAAAGCTGCTGGGCTGTGTGCAGCCTTTCAGGGGATGGAATGTGCGGCAGTAGGCACCAGGATCCAGAGAGAGTTGTGGGGCCTCCAGAACCTGGAAAGGCCACAGTGACTGGTGGGTGACTTGGCAGTGCCCCGCTGAGAAGGGGCCTGGGTGTAAACCCGCTGGCGGAGCTGAGCCGTGCAAGGCCCGTGACGCTCATGCTCAGAGGCCTCCCAGGTGAGGCTGAGGCCTGGCCAGCCCGCCGCAGTGTGTTCTCAGAGCCGCTGATCACAGTGAAACAGACACCGCCTCTCCCCCCATGCCCCGTGACTTACCTTATTAAAAACTACTTTGACTGCAGATACCGACTCAGAGGAAGATGAAGACTTCCTGAAGGACGAGTGGCCTGCCCAAGGCCCCTCCGGCTCCAAACTGACCTCCTCCCTCCTGTGTGGCATGGTAGCAAAGAATGGCAAGCCAGCCACGGGCCCCAAGTTGACCAAGAGGGGCCTAGCGGCCCCCCGGACTCTGAAACCCAAGGCGGCCGCCAGCAGGAAGCAGCCGTTCTGCTTGCTGCTCCGAGAGGCTGAGGCCCGCTTGTCCTGCAGCGACTCTTCGGAGGACTCGTTTGACCAAGGTTACTAGCTCCACACACAAAATCTCTTCCATGTTTTAGAGCGAGAGAGTGAGTGTGAGAGCGCGAGCGAGCGAGAGAGAGCACGCGTGTGCACACAGCAGGGATGGCAGCCGTGGCCGTCGCCGATGGCCCAGGACGGCAGCCGTCTGGTTCTTGGCAGCGTAGCCTGCCGTACCCACCTCTTTTTGTTTTTGTTTTTATTTGTACCGTATCATTGTGAAGGATACCATTGGGGAGCTCTTTCCGAGCTCACTCGGACTGGTTTTTTTGGTCTCCACTTTTCTCCTCTCCTTCCTCTGCACCCCTCCCCACCCCCTGAGGCCCTGCACCTTTCCTGCCCCCCCCAGACCACAGGTCTGAGCTGGGCTCTTGGCCTGGGCCCGGCCCTGGGAGCATTTTGTAAATGGACCTCTGTCGTGTGGGCGTGTGACTTGATGTTTGTACCGCGATTTTGGTAATACCAAGCTTTATTAAACATACCGAGTTCATTTTTAACTAAACCGTGTGCCTTGTCTCTCTTGCTGTGTCCTTACTAGACATCAGGTTGCCGCTTCCCTTCATTTGTTCCTCCTCCCTCCTCCCGCTCCTCCTCCCCACCCCAGAGGGAGTGGAAGCGTGGCCGCTCCTCTCTATTATTCAAATATCCCTGGGAGCTCTGGCATCCATTCCATTTTTCAGGTGGACAGTCAGCCGCCCTCACCTCCAGCATCATCCTTTTTTTTTTAAGCTGCTTGTTTGTGTTTTATTTTCTTAAAACTCTGCTCTTACCAGTGGTTAAACAGAATTAACATAAACACTTGTCTTCTAACATGTATTTCTGTTTTGAAGGGCGTGTAGGCAGTGCAGGGTCAAGGCCATCAGCTGGCCTTGGTTTCGTTGCTACATTTGAAAGCGTTGGCTTCATAGCCACTTCAGGGGACAAAAAGCATACTTTGGGGGAGAGCACTGGCCCGTGGCCCTCTGGCCTGGTTTGGCCTTGGGTTCCTCAGCCAGCTCTCCTCTCAGAAGGTCAAGCTTCATGACCCCCAAGAACATTCCCTAACATCAGAATGGGACTCTGGTGTTAGAAATGTCTGAGCCCTCAGGCCCTTCAATCAGAAATGGCCCAAGAAGGGGGAAGCACGTGAAAAAGTACCTCTGCCCTGGTTTAGGGTGTGCTTCAGGATAGATTCCTTTTAGGGCCAGGCCTTGGGAATCCTCAAAACCCTGGCTAGCAATACGTGGACGTCAGCAGCTTCCTCAGGAAGGTCCCGACGTGTCCTAGCGAATCTGGATGTGACCAGAACACTGCCCATTTCGGCTCCTCCTCCTCGTCTACCGTCTCCCCTCCAAATTGGCAGGGTTTGGAGACAGCACACTGGGAGCCTCATGTCCTTTGGGCCCGGGTTCTCTTGTCCCGCTGCCACATCTGAGTGAGTGCATCCTGGGCTAAGCAGAGAGGCCACTAACCCGCTAGTGAGACCCCACCCCGGCCGGCCTTCTGTGATGAGTCTGCTTGGCTGGACCCTTCCTCCCTTGCCTTGGATGGATCTCCGTGCTCCCTCCCCACGTGCCCTTAAAGCCAGGCTTTCAGCTTCTTAGCTTTTGAACACTCCTGCCCCAGCTCAGAGCCCACAGAGGAACAGGCAGCCCCCACCAGACCCCTCCGGGAGGGCCCAGTTGCCCCAAGTCAGACAACAGGGCTGGATGTAGCAGGGCCAGTGCACATAGCCCAGATAGGAGAGTGGGGGGTGAGGGGAGGGGGCTCAGCTTTTCGGTCTGCCCCCCACAATAAAGCAGATGGTTGATGAGGTCTTGAGGGATATTTGGGTAATAGGGCCTTACTGACTCCCTGGTACTAAAACACTTAATTGGCTTGGCTTTTCTAGTGTGTCTGCTTTCTCCTCCCAGCAGCTTGACCATACCTCCACCCTTGACCCCTACCCATGATGCTTTGAGTGTCTGTTTCGGTCTCTTGCATTTGCTCTCCCGCTGCACTCTGGACGCAAAGCGAAGGCTGGGAGTAGGGCAGACGGCACAGCGGGTCACGGAGCTTGGGTCCGAGCCTGGCTCGTTGCTCCGTAGGTAGGCAAACCCTTTTCTTTCTGTCCTCTGTACACCCACCCCCTCGGGGTCTGCCCCCACGGGTCTGGCAGCAGCACATCACCTTGACGCTTACGGGTTTTGGGAAACCAAACCAAGTTACAACAGCCAACCCCTTGTCCTGAGCCAAGATTTAAAAAAAAATACGTTTTTTCTGTATTTCCTTGGGTATCTTTGTTGGGACTTTTCTCCCCTCCTGCCCTTGGCAAGCTCTGCCTCAGGTGTGGATAACTCCAGAGAGGCGTTCTTGGCCCTTGCACCTCTGCTCCTCCTGCCCTCTCAGACATGGTCTGAGCAGACCAATGTGGTCCACCCAGCACCAGGGAGGCCGGGAGGATGGTGGGATCATTCAGATGTCCCTTATGCAGATGCTCTTTGTGGGCTTCTGCCTGCCAGCATTTTTCCATTGCCGGTGCTGGGCCTGGCCTGCTGCTAGCTTTCTGAGATCTAAGGTGTTCCCTACAGTTCCCAGAAACCCAGGGCCTCTGGCCTATCCCACCAACCTTCTAGCTGAGCCCTGGAGGGAAGATTTCTGGCATCTCCACACCCGAGCAGCCAGGGCAGGGCGTTTTTAGAAGGGAACATGCCCAGCCCCTCGCCTAGCCCTGTGCTCCCACCCCAGCCAGCCGCCCTCCCAACACCTGCCCCAAATTGGACAACCCCAGGGGACCTGATGTGGGGGACCCAGGCGCTGTTGAAAGTCTGCCTACACTTAGCCTGCTTTGCCGCTGTGGCCCACTGGGGCGGAGACAGAGCCATGTGACGTCGCAATGTGAATGATCGCAAGTGTGCACTGCCTGCCTGCCCTGCCTGCCCTGCCGGCCTCCTCCCCAGCCTGCTTCATCCATCGTCTCGGGAGCCCGCTCCCGCCTGCACCCCTGTAACAAGCCTCCTCTCTGCTCCTCTCTCTCTTTCCACCCTTGTACGACTCCCCGGGCTCCTCACCGCCTCCCCCTCCCAGGGCTGCCCCGCCAGGAATCTGGGTACCCTCCAATAAGTGGGTAGAGGACAGAACTCTTGCCCATGGTGGCACCCTTGGGGCTGCCGCTTTTGGCCACGAGGTCCGCGTAGCCAAGTGGCAGCTGGGGGCAATGACAGGAGAACGTGGACTTGGTTACCCGTCCCCTTGGTTACCCGTCCCCCTGCCACTTCCTGCTTCGCAGCCACTTTCCAGCCCCGTCTGGGCCCTGCCTTGGCCAGTGGCTTCCAGGGCTCTGGGCAGATGAGCACGGGGCCACTTGCCCTTGAAACGCCTTTGCTGTGTGTCAGGTGCCTCAGTTGGGCTGCCTCCCTGGGAAGGACAGGGACAGCCTCTCTCTTTGGCAGAGGGATTGGTTCATGTGCAGGGATCCTTGTCAAGCTGGGCTTTCCTGGCCAGCCCCGGCCTCAGCGCCCAGCCTGCCCCTTCCCAAGAACCCTAGCTGGCTGCCGGGCCAGAGGCTCTGGAAAAGCCTATCCTCACTCCCAGGAGATAGCCTGAACCTCTTCAGCCAGCCCTGCTGCTTGAACCCTCAGCCTGAGGTTCCGTCTCCAAGTTCAGCTTGCCCACCCTGAGGGCTTCCCTGGAGCCCTGAGCCAAAGCCAGCTTGGAGCTGTGCCCTGGGGGCACCGCTCCTCTCTGGGTCACAGATATGGCCACGTTTCTCTCGATCCTCCCCAGACCTGCAGAGCACTTTCTGTGGGAACCTTCCTCTTAGCTGGTCCGGTTGCCGGCAGGGTCACCCCATGCCACAGCTGAGGAAACGGGGGTCAGTGAGGGTAAGCACTTGCTTCCCGGTTTGCCAGGGTAGGGACGTTGCTGGACTTTAGTTTTGGACTTGATAGCCCTGCTTGGGGCTGGAATCACAACGTCCCCATCAAGTTCCAGAAGAGACCAAACTCCACCTTCTCCTGCCACCAGCCCCCAGGTCTCCAGCTGGCAAACGGCTGCAGGCCCCTTGCCTGGATGCCCAGTCTGAGCCCCTTCCCCGCCTCTCCTGCCTCTTCCTCCTCCTCCTCCTCTTCCTCCTCTCCTGCCTCCTTCCTAAGCCTTTATGTCTGTCGGGGTGCGTGTGTGTATGGGTGAGACCGTGGCGAGCGCTGTCTCCAGTCCTGTCTGTGTGTCTGTCCCCTGCCCACAGCACACATGCATGTTGGTGCTCCCCACACAGAAGCCCACCCTGACACGCAGAGCCGCTGCCCCTCTGGGCTGTCCAGGATGCCCTTGCGCTGGGCTCTGTGGGCGAAGGCCCTGGGCGAGCATGGGTGGGACCGAGGGCTAGTTTGGGATCTTCCCCCAGTGGCCACATGGTGAGGCTGAGGGGCGAGGCTGGAGCTGTGGCCACTCCAGCCTGGGGGGCTGGGGGGGTGGCGGGGGGTGGGGGCGGCACACACTGGGCCAGAGCCCTGACTTGCTCCCTGTTTTCTGCACGCCAGATGAGACCTCCGAGGAGGACGAGGAGGAGCTGGAGGAGGAGGAGGACGAGGCGGCTGGTGGCTATAGGCTGGGCACTCGGGAACGGGCCCTGTCGCCAGGCCTGGAGGAGAGTGGGCTGGGCCTGCTGGCCCGCTTCGCGGCCAGTGCCCTCCCCAGCCCCATGGTGGGACCGTCCCTGTCCGTGGTGCAGCTGGAGGCCAAGCAGAAGGCCCGGAAGAAAGAGGAGCGGCAGAGTCTGATGAGTGAGTATCACTGGGCACCTGGGGCCAACTCTGTCCCGAGCAGAGCAGTGCTGGTGCCGAGAGTCCTAGCCCCACTGTTCCCTGGAAGGATCTCTGGCTGCTTGAGGCATAACTGCTCCACCTTTGTGCTCCTGATAAACATGGCCCTAAATCGGGTCCTGGAGGCCGTGGAAGCCCAGGGAGGCCCCAGCCCACTCTAGGTTGGTGGCAATGCGCTGGCCCCTGAGGAATGTGGGTGCTGGCTGAGAAGGAGGTGTACAGGGAAGGAGTAGCCTGGAGGAGGACAGGAAAGCTGGTAGCTTCCTGAGCCAGGAGCCATGTGACACAGTCTGTGACCCAGTGGGCGGGGCTGCTGAGGGCTAGGGGTCACTGACCCTGAAGGAGTTGGGGTCAGCAGGTGCTGTGCTGGGCCCCAGTGGGTGGAGCTTATCATAGTGAATCCTCATGGCCCTCTCTGTGAGACCAGGCCACCCTCCCACTACCCCAATGGCCCAAGCATGGTCACAGCAGTATTGCTCGGGCAGGAGGCTCAGGTTCACCGTGTCTCTGCGTCTGATCACACCGTGTGTCAGGGCCCTGTGTCCCTGCTGATGCTCCAGTGTCCTTTCCTCAGCAGTAAGAGCAGGTTCGCCCCCGCCCGACCCTCCCTGCAGGGCTGGGTAGGAAATGGGAACCACAGGCCCTGCCAGCCAGAAGCATCTAGAGGACTTTCCCTCAAGGCTTAAGCTCCACCCCGCTGCTTCTCTGCGCAGAACTGGCTCCCCACTGCCTCCAGGTGAACACCACCTGTCTGTCCCTGCACCCGTATCCTGTCCACAGCTCCTAATTTGCCACCAGCCATTGTAGCCCTTCGGGTTTTTGGACTTCTGTCCCCACAGCCGCAGGCATCACGATTATCAAAAGTATCATCATAGTTTGAGTGATTCCCTTTTTATACCTTTAGTGTTGGAAGGGTCTGTAGTGATGTTTCCTTTTTCCTTGTGGATTCAGATAACTTGTGCCTTTTTCTCCCCCTTGATCATATTGGCTAGAAGTTATCCATTTCATTGATTTCTGTGGTGTTATTTCCTTCTTTCTGTTTTCTTTGGGCATAATTTGCACCCGCTTCCGTTTCTTAAGGTAGACATTTAGGTCATCAATTTGAGACTGTTCTTTTTTCCAGTAGACATTGAAGGCTCCAAACCTCTCTCTAAATACAGCTTTAAGTGCATCTCACACATTTTGATATGTTGTCATATTCTTACTTCTTATTCTTTTATGATTTGTACTTTGACTTAGTGAGTATTTAAAAAGATATTTCCAACTACTTGAGGGAAGTTGCCTGGTTATCTTAATCTTACTGATTTCTAATCCAATTCCATCGTGGTTGGAGAACATTCCCTATAATTTCAGCCTTTTAATTTTTTAAGTCTTTGATGGTGCATGGCATTTCCTAGTAAGTGCACTGTGTTAGGTCTTCTGTACATGCCAGTCACACTGGTGTGATCAGTAGTATTAAGATGTGCACCTTCACTGGATTTTGTTTGGGTCTAATTCTCTCAGTTGCTTAGAGATGTTAAAGTCTCCCACTGTGATTGCAGAAGTCTCTAGTTCTCTTTTATTTTATTTTATTATTATTTTTTTGTTTTGTTTTGTTTTCCAATACCGGGAATCGAACCCTCGCGCTTGCCAGGCAGGCGCTGTGCTGCTGAGCTAAATCCCCAGCCCCTAGTTCTCCTTTTAATACTGTCAGTTTTTGCTTTGTATGTCTGCAGCTCTGTTACTTGGCACATATGTATTCGTGACCATCATATTTTCCTCTTGACTCCGTCTTTGTTTCTTTCTACCTCTGGCATTACATTCTGTTTGGATCCACTTTATCTAGTACACACAGCCGCTTCATCTTCCTTGTGCTTGCCATTTCTGTGATGTATATATATTTTGAGACAAGGTCTCACTGTGCAGTTCAGGCTGGCCTTAAACTCACTGTGTAGCCCAGGCTGGTCTCAGACTCACAGTGATCCTCCTTCGTCAGCCTCCAGAGTGCTGGGATTACAGGCGTGCACCACCATGCCCGATGTCTGTGGTGTATTTTTTTCTGTCTGTTCATCGTCATTTTGTCTCTTTCTGTGTGTGTGATACTGGGGATTGAACCTCGGACCTTCACAATGAGCTGAATCTCTAGCCCCTTTTTTATTTTGAGACAGGGTCTGTCTCACTGAGTTGCCCAGGTGGAACTTGAGCTTTGGATCTTTCTGCATTAGCCTCCCAAAGTGCTAGGATTACAGGTGTGCACCACGGCAACTGGCTATTTTAATTTATCTTTGTCTTTATATTTAGTGTAAGTTTCTTATAGAGAGCATATGCTTGGGTTTTTTAAAAATTTTTTTATGATTTCTGTCATTTTATTGGAGTGTTTATAACATTTATTGCAATAAAAGCAGAGTAATATATAATATTAATATGGGCAGGTTTGAATCTACCGCTTTGTAATAGTTTTGTATAGCTTTTTTGAGATATAATTCATATACCATAAAATACAATGTACAGCTCAGTGGTTTTCATTATATTCAGAGTTGGGAAGCCATGACTGTTATCTAATTTTTGAACATTCTCATCACCTCAAAAGGAAATCTCACAGTCACTGAATTCCCGCACAACTCCAGCCCTAAGCTACCACTTCTTTTGGATTTATCTATTGACTTTTCATATAAACAAAACCCTGCAATGTGTGGCCTTTGTGTTTGGCCCCATGGTTTTCAGGCTCATCCACATGGTAATGTGTAGTGCTTCCTTTCAGTATGACTGAATCATCTTCCACTGATAGCCATCTACTGCACCATGTACTCAGCAGCTGATGGGTATTTGGGTTGTTTGTATCTTTAGGTTTTTATGGATAATGCTGCTAGGAATATATCCATACAGATTTTTGTGAGGATGTTTTCTAGTTCTCTTGGTAGTGGAACTGCTGGCTCACTGGGTAGCTGTCTAACTTCTGAGGAGTTACCAAACTGTTTTTCTAAAGTACATTCCACCAGAGAGTATGAGGTTCCAGTTTCTCCACAGCCTCTCCAACACTTGCTGTTATCAAGGTTCCGGTTTCTCCACAGCCTCTCCAACACTTGCTTTATCTATCTATCTATCTTAAGGATTATGGCCATCTCTGTGGATATGAAGTGGTGTCTCAGTGTGTAGTATGTTTGTTGGGCAGGGGATGGAATCCAGGGCCTCATGCATGCTAGGCAAGCCACGCTACCACTGACCTACATCACCAACCCTTCATTATGGTTTTGATTTGCATTTCTCTAATGATTTTGAGTACTTTTTCATATACTTAGTGGCTATTTCTGTCTTCCTTTGATTTTATTGTTGTTATTGTTTGAGACAGGGTCTTACTATGTTGTACAGGTTGGCCTTGCACTCTCTATGTAGCCTAGGCTGGCCTCAAACTTGTGGTGATCCTCTTGCCTCAGCCTCTGGAGTGCTGGGACTACAGGTATGTGCCATCATGCCCAGCATGTGCCTTGTTTTAAGAAGTATCTTATTTAAACCAGGTACGGTGGCACACCCATATAATCTCAGCCATTCAGGAGGCTGAGGCAGTATTGCAAGTTAGGGCCAACCGGCCAAGTTAATGAGACCCTATCTCACCAATAAAAAGGGCTGGGATGTAGCTCAGATATAGTATCCTTACCTAGTATGCACAAGCTTCTGGGTTTGATTCCCAGTAGTGGAAAAAGAAATCATGTTTAAATCCTTTACTTTTTGTTAATTTTTCAAAAGTTACTGAGTAAGAGTTCTTTATATATTTGGATTACAACACTCTTATCTGATATAATTAGCAGGCACTTTCTACTTTTCTGTGAGTTGTCTAGTCACCTTTTTTTTTTTTTTTGTACCAGGAATTGAACTCAGGACCTCATGCTTGGCAGGCAGGTGCTATGCTGCTGAGTTATAGCCCTAGATCTATTCACTTTTTAAATAGCATTATTCAAAACAAATTTTTCTTTTTGTTTCTTTCTTTCTGTATCTGTCTATCCATCCATCTGTACTGGGCATCAATCCCAGGGATGTGTGATGCTAAGCAAGTGCTCTACCACGGAACCAAATTGCCAGCCCTTTTTATTTTTATTTTGAGGCAAAGTTTTGCTAAGTTGCCCAGGCTGGCTTTCATCTAGCAACCCTTCTGCCTCAGCCTCCTCAGTAGTTGGGATTGCAGGTGTGTACCACTGCTCTCAGGAAAAGTTTTTAATTTTAATAAAACCTAATTTATCTGTTTTTTCTCTTGTCACCTGGTTCTAGGGTCACATGGAAGAAAGTACTGTATAATCCAAGGTCACAAAGATTTACTCCTGGGTTTTTGTAAGACTCTTACAGTTTTGGCTGTTTTGTTTAGGTCTGTGATCCATTTCTAGTTAATTTTTGTGTATGGAGTGATGCAGGGGACTTTTCTGTGCAAATACCCAGTTATCCCAGTAGGACTTTGCTGCTTTTGTTGAAAATTAATTGTCCAAAAATGGAAGGGATTATTTCTGGACTTCCAATTCTTTTCCAGTGATCTAAACATCTATTATATCTATTCTTATGCCAGTACTACATTGTCTTGGTTTACTGTAGCTTTGTGGAAGTTTTGAAACTAGAAAATGTGAATTTCCCAAATTTTTCCTTTTTTTTTAAAGTTATTTTGGTGCTTCTGCATTTCCATGTAAATTTTAGAATCAGCTTATTAACGTCTGCCAAAAAGCCAGCTAATCCTAGCTCTCAGGAGGCAGAGGCAGGAGGATCATTGTGAGTTCCAGTCCAGCCTGGGCTACAAAGGTAGCACAAGGCCAGTCTAAACTGCATAGTGAGACCCTGTCTCAGAAAGACAAAAACAAAAACAAACTAGCTGGCATTCTGACAGGAACTGTATTGAACTGGTAGATCATTTTGGGGAGTATTGGTCTCTTAACATTATAAACCTTTTGATCCATGAATATGGGATGTCTTTCCATTTAAATGAGTCCTTAATTTTTTTTTTTTCAGTAATGGGGATTGAACACAGTGCTTTCACATTGAGTTACATATCCAGCCTTTCCTTGTTTTTTTGAGGCAGAGTATTACTATATAGTTCAGCCTGGCCTTGAGTGCATGATAGTTCTCCTGCTTCAGCCTCCTAGGTGCTCTTTGGTATTAGAGCCATGTGCCACTATGCCCAGCATATCCATCCTTTTTCTGTTTTTCATTTTGAGATAGGTCTTGCTAAATCACTCACGCTTGGAATCATCCTGCTTCAGCCTTCCAGAGTGCTGGGATGACAGGTGTGTGCTACCACACTCAGCTTTGTGATGAATTTTCTTTTTTTTGTTGTTTGTTTTTTTGGTTTTTCTCTGGTACTGGGAACCGAACTCACGACCTTGTGCTTGCCAGGAAGGCGCTTTGCCGCTGAGCTAAATCCCTAGCCCCTGTGATGAATTTTCTTAGTGTTTTTTCATCTGAAAATATTTCCATTTAACCTTCATTCTTGAGTGATGTTTTAATGTTTTCACTGGATGTAAAATTTTCCATTTCCATTTTTTCTCTCAGCACTTTAATGGTGTTCTACTCTCTTCTGGCCTCCAGGTTCTGATGGAAAGTTAATCAAATGTTTTTTTCTAAGTGACAGGTTATGTGTTGGTCAGCTTTCTGTTACTACAACAAATACCTGTGACGATCATATGAAAAATAGGAAAGGTTCATTTTGGCTCATGAATTTGCAGGTTTAGTCTATGGCCAACTGGCTGTGTGGCTGCAGGCCTGTGAACGCACAGTACATCGTGGGGGTGCTGCATAGCCGGGGAAGCTGTTCATCTCTGACAGGGAAAAGAGGGAAAGAGGAAGAGACTGGGGCCCCACAGTCCCCTTGGAGGCCCATCCCCAGTGAGCAAACGCTGTTGCAGGTGCCACACTGGGGACCAGGCTGCCCACCTTTAGGGCTCCTTCAGGTCCAAGGTGTGGCTTCTCCTACTGTTCTCTGGGGTTTGCTTTTACTGTCTCTCAACAGCAACTGTGATGTGCCTCGGGACTGTCGGTGCGGACTTTCTAGTATTGCTTCTGCTTGGTGTTCATGTAACATCTTGGATCTACTGGCAAATTTCTGCTTGCCCTCAGCCTCACTATCACTTTGAGTGTTTTTCTGTACCATTTGTTATCACCTGACAGATCTCAGGACTGTGGTTGCCTTTTTCAAACGCACCTCTCTTACTCAAATCCATTCTGCTCTCAGGTCCCTTCTGTGAATTTATTTCCAAAGTTGTAATTTTCAGTTCTAGAACTTATACTTTGGTTCTTTCCAGCTGTTTGTATTTCTCTGCTGGCCTTTCCCATTTTTCTGCTGGTACAGAGGCTGAAGCAGGAGGATCACAAGCTGGAGCCCAGCCTCAGTAAGTTAGCAACTGCATAAGACCCTGTCTCACAGTAGTAAGAAGGGGTTGGATGTATCTGAGAGCGAAGGCTCCAGGCTCCATCCTCCGTACTGCAAAACAAACAAAAAAATCCAGAGTTTTGTTTTGCTTCCTTAGGGAAAGCTAGCTGGGGGCTGGGGATTTAGCTCAGCGGCACAGTGCCTGACTGGCAAGCGCAAGGTCGTGAGTTCGATTGCCGGTACCGAAAACAAAAAACAAAAAAACAAACAAACAAACAAAAAAAAAGAAAGCTAGCTGGGATCTGCCTGAGGGAATCCTCCTTCCTTAGTCCCGACACAGGCAGCATCTTGGGTCAGACGTGGTGAGTGTCTTCTCTCTCCAGAATGCCGTGCCCCTCTTGGCTCTTGTCCGTTGATCATCTTTGGCTCGTGCGCTAGGCTCTGTGGCGGTGGGCTGTGGAAGTAGGGTCCAGATGCTCTGATTTTCTTCAGTGAATGCTGTTGCCTTTCGGCTGCCTTGTTGGGGCTGGAACTCCCATTTCTGTTACCTGGGTGGCCTGTGTGGTCTCCGTTCAGATCAACTTCTGCCGCTCACTGCGCTGTGTCAAATCTGCCCCAGTGTGGGCAGGCGGAGCCTGGGGGTCTTTCTCCCTGCTTTCTTCTGCGTTGTCAGCATCTAACTTTCTCTTTCTTGCTACCGAGGCCGGGACTCATTTCTTTCCACGCATGTGCAGCCTCCCTGTGGGACCGCCAAGGAGCCCGTGCCCTGGGCCGGGGCGGGGGTGCAGTGCAAAGTCCCTCCTTTCCACGGGCACCTTCTCAGCCCACTGTCTGCCTGCCCCGGTTCTGTCCCGCCCCAGGGCACCCTGTGTGGGCTGCCTTGGGGCGCAGTCTCAATCTAGTTCCTAGTTCCCTCCTCAGCCAAAGAGCCCCAGCTGCCTCCTTGCCCTTTGGAAGATGAGTTGTTGGGATCCTTAGGCTTTGCCAGTGGCTCTCTGGGCGCCCCCAGGCCCCGCTGCTGTGGCTGCCCCTTTGGGAGTGGCCTTCCAGGAGAACGCTTGTAGCCAGGCTGCCCGCTGCCTGGGGCCAGTGGGGCTCCCTTGGGCCCTGGAGTGCTGGGCTGTGCTGGAGGGAAGCCTGAGACTGTTAACCCAGCAGGGTGTTGCAGATGTCCCGCCCTGGGGTCTAACCCTAAGTGCCTGTCCTGTTGGAAGTGCCCCCAGCCAACACGCTAATGTGTTTCCTGGGCACCAGCTCTGTGAACCTGGAGGCTCCCTGAGAACTCCGAGAGCCAGCTCTAGGGGACAGGGCAGGCCACGGCATGTCACTGTGGTGAGGGAGTTGTGGACAGAAGGTGTGCTCAGTGGCCCATCTGTGGCCCATGGGGCTTTCCAGGCCGAGGTGGAGTGAGGTGGGGCATCTGCGGAGGGAGGAGCGGACGGGGAAGCCCAGAGGTCACGCTGGTGGGGCTGGGCCGAGCCGGCAGTTGGCAGTGGCAGGTGAAGTGTCCAGAACCCCAAACCAAGGGCAGAGGGACTAGGTCCCTTGGCCAGCAGAGGACAGGGCTGGTGAGGGGGCTGGGCCCAGGCTGTGGTGCTGCAGGGTCTCCCTTACATGGTGTGGGTGAGGCCAGGGCCTGCAGAGGGCATCAGGCTGGGTGCCCGCACCTCTCCTGGCAGCAGGAGGGCGCCCCAGCTCAGTGCCGCCCCTTCCCCTCCCCCAGGCACGGAGTTCGAGTACACGGACTCGGACAGCGAGGTCAAGGTGCGCCGGCCGCCCCCCACCGCGCTGCTGCGCCCCAAAAAGGCGCCGGGTGAGCCAGGCCCCCCGCTGGCCACGCCCGCACCCTGCGCCCGTGGTCCCAACAGCCCCGATAAGGCCAAGCTGGCCGCCGACAAGGGACGTAAGGCCCGCAAACTACGCGGGCCCAAGGAGCCGGGCTTCGAGGCTGGGCCCGAGGCCAGCGACGACGACTTGTGGACGCGGCGGCGCAGCGAGCGCATCTTCCTGCACGATGCCTCGGCCGCCGC